GTGGCCCGGTGTTTTCCGAATAGGTGCTGAAGCAGCTGGCAGTCTGCCTCTTAACTGTGGCTGGGATTGGATTTCACGAAAAACATTTTCAGTAAGATCCTTACCCTTATATGTTTTATTGCTGTTGAAAGGATTATAGGGTCAGGCTTATATCGGTGTCGGCTTAGCTTTCTGTACGAAGCTGTTTTACCTCCTGAGAGAGTCCCGTTCAGCATTGCAGCTAGCACTCAGTTTGTTAGAGGCAGCAGAAAAAATTTCTTTTGGGAGTACAGTATTATTAAATTTGTCTGATCCTCAGGACTTCACAGAGAAGGCATTTTCTAAAGCGTACTGTACTAAGAGCAGGAAGAAGAATAATGGTAAACAAAATTACTGAAAATGGCCAAGAATTATTGCTAGAGGGTAAGTGCTTCATGTACATATTGATACTCACAAAGGTTCAGGGTGTTCTGAAGGTATCTGTGTATCTTAACTGAAGAAGAAAATAATCCTGAGACTTTCTGAAACACAGAATTATTCCACTGTTAAATCCTTTACATTTTGTAGTATCAATCAACTTGATTGCAGAGTACCGCTTGTAACTTTGTACTTGTTTATGGAGGGAGAAATCAAAAGATCTGTCCTTAGTTGTACACGTAGCTGGGTACTCTGGTACTGCCCGATTGCTGCGTAGGTGGTTGTCTCGGGGAGCTTTGGCTTTTTGCTTTGCGTAAAACACAAACAAATGCAGACTGCAGAATTTTGAACTGTTTCAGGGGGATTCATAGCATGTTATCAACAGTACAGCTTTCAAAAATTTCTGTAAAACTCTGCTTTGTATGTCTTTAGCAGATGCCAAAGCTGTGTCTGGTTACAAATGCATACATGTTATCTGCGGTGTAATGTGTAATACATTTTACTTGCTTTGTAAAGTCCAGTAAACATAGAATTGTAAGGACAGTGTTGATTTGCAGTGAAGTAAATAGAGTTACATATTAGTCTTAAAACTGTGAATGAACACATTATATTCTTAAAATAACCATGGATGTCAATAGGTTTGGCCTTAAGCTACAGTGTCTGATGGAAGCATACGTCCGCATCTGGCACGTGAGAGTTAGTGACGTCGGTGTAACCGATAGAGTCTGAGCCTTTGTTTAAAGTACAGAGCATCTCTTTGCTGCCGGAAAGCCATCCAGGTAAAGATCGCAGCTCTGCCCTTTCCTTCTGCTATCCTCTCCTCTTGTACAGCCTTACTGTTGTGTGAGTTGTTATCTAGCGCAGCGTTGCCCTTGTTTTTCTTAAAATATAGGGTCAACCTGGAATATATGGCTCATCCTTTCTTCCCCCTTATTTTCTCCTTCAGCGAAATAGATCTGTACGTCCAAGGCGTTAGATGAACTGTAGTTAACGGTTTTCTGTTGGTTATTCCACTACCAGGGGAGATAGCTGGCTTCTTGAACTACTAGGGAAAGGTCAACAAACTCACTTAGGGTGATTTTGTTGTCTTCAACGAGGCTTTGTTCTGCAGGCAGCTTTACTGTTGTTGGAAGACGAGAAGAAAGGTACCTGAACATGGCACAGACTTTGAGGGGAAACAAAGTTTATATTATGATACAAGTATTTGGAAGAGCAGTTGCATCATTATCAACATCTGGAAATTGCTTGTGGAGAATACAGTCCCTTGTATTTAAAAAAAAAAAAAAAAGTGTAATAAGGGGAATATAGCCTGGCACAGTCATGTGATCCAGGGTTTCTTCCTCGCCATGGAAAGGGCGGTTTCACGGGATCTGTGAACTGTGCCACGGGCATGCTTGGGACTGTTGCCTCGTGGAGGAATTTCTAGCTTATATCCCTGTTGGGCCATGGAACAGCTCAAACCGTGAGCTATCCCGTGAGGATTCTTTGCCTTGTGCTTGGGCATGATATGAAGCGAGGAAAGGTTTGAGGTGTGGACAAGCCAGATGTCACTCAGCATATTGCAGAGAGAAAGCTGCATGTGCAGAGAGAAAGCTACAAGGGAGACTTGAGGGATAAAAATCTGAGAAAAAGCCTTTATGGAGTTAGAGTAGATGGCTGCTTTCCCCAGGACTCTTGAGATAGAAGGCTACAGTGTTGAAGGTGATCCTCTTCTTCAGGGGCAAGTTAAAAGGGTGGCAGATGTTGCTTTCCCAGCACCTGGGATGACATGAGGCCTATCCCCTTTTGCTGATCATAGCCGGAAATGGACATGGGCAGCTTTTACTATTAAGACTTTATCCTTAAGCCTGTGAGCAAATGTCTTCACAAAAATCATTTGGTGGCTAATAAAATTATTTAGTGTTGCAAGAAACAAAACTGAAAAATAATCCTACCTGAATTCTGTGTGCAGCAGTCCTTTTGCTCCTGTAACTTTTCCTGCTGTAGACTTGAGTCCATGCTTTTGCTTCCAGGCCTTGTAAGCACAGGAAGAGTAAGTCTAGCAAATTTATTTTGTCTCCTGGGCAAAAATTCAAAATGAATTCTGCCCCAATTATCAGTTGTATAGGAATTTCCAGAAGATTTTGACTCTTGAAAATTTGCAAAAGTGTAAGTAGGTTATCCAAACAGAACCAGCTCCCCCAAAGAGGGAGGCTTTGCATACCTTAAGCCATCTATCAGCTATGTTTTATTTAAGTTAGGCTCTCTTCAGAGATAATTTGCAGCATGCCAAGATTCATTGTACAGGAGAGGCACTCCAGGGATCAGCTAATCCAGCTGTCTCTTTCTGACTAAAGGGTGAGCCTGCGTGGTTAGCTGAACATAATGCCTGCTGTTTAGATAGCTGAAATTAGGTTAAAGGAATCCCACAGCAAGCACTTGGGTAGCCATGCTAATTTCTAATCTGAAATTTCAGTTTTATTTATAAGAGGAATATTGAAAATATGAACCATGAATTTTTTTTTAATGAAAAAGTCTGCGATGTTCTCTGTGCATGGAAATATCTCAATTTTCAAATATCTCCCTAGATACCACAGGCTTTGTAACCAGTGATGCATATAAAATAGACAACATCTGAATGACAGAATTAAATGGTATTATCTGCTATGCAGTCTGTTTCATTACAAAAATGGCTTTTCTGTGGCATATGCAAAAGAGTCTGTACATGCGCAATATAATTAAAAATAAGCTATTAGCTCTTATACTGCCCCAAAAATTAAATTATGTTGAAAGGGAGAGTATTGGACTTTTCCTCTGAGTGTCTGTCTTTCTAGTAAGTCGCTGCTTTTTTTTTTGTCAGTCGTAAAGATGTAAATAAAGGGTTTCTTTCTTTCTCAAGCCTAGCTTTTCAGCTCAACTCCAATTTGCACTCTTGAGTCACTGTAAAATTCTTTGAAGAAATTCAGCTCCTCAGTTAAGATGCAGCTCGCGAAATTTCAAGTAGGGACAATTATGGCAACTCTGCGTGCCGTCATCACAGGTCATAGCAGTAAGTGACGCTTTGTCCAGCTTGTTTAGCCCTGCAAAGCATGTCTGAGTCTGTGCATTCCTCTTGAGATACTGTGAATGGGGATATGATGGCAGCATGATATGTGTGCCTCTGCCAATTTCCATTTAATTAGCGCAGATCCCGTGGCTGTGAAAGTGAGGTGGCACAGGTTTGTAATCAAAGTACAGCCCTCCTGGGAATTTTTTTTATTTTATGTATCAAGTCTTATCGCAGCTTGATTAGCATTGCCATTTCTTCACTGCTCATGTTATCTGTGCTGGCTAGACTGAAGTTAGTCAGACTATGTCCATCTGTGCCTCCAGCCTGCCTTGACTTGCCGGGTCGATAGAGCCTCTGTAAGAACTAGGTGAGTGTCTTTGAGTTAGCCATGTGCAAAAGGAAAGATCTGAAGGTATTCTAAGACGTACCGATTTCCACTCATTTCACTGAGCATAATGACGCAGGGGAGCGGTAACTTTTTTTGAGGAAGTTCAGAAATTGAAAACAGTGGAGAAGACAACCTTGACAGGTTAAGTCATGCGGCCTGCTCCTCCTGCCAGCTTATTACATGGGTCACTATTCTTTTACCAGACTGGCTGAGTAAACCTTATCACTGGGAAGCTTCCAGGTCTGTCTTTATGGTAGTCTCACTATGCCTAATTGTTCAGTTTTCCTTTATCCTAACTGATCTGTCTTTATTATAGTTACTTTGATGCATATGTTTTGTCTGTATCTTTCTCTAAATTCCTTTTTTTATCCCTCACTTACTAAAGAAAACGCAGCAGCTAGCGCAGATGATGTATGCATGGAGTGCTCTAGCAGTGTAACTGGCTTTAACTTAATTCCATTCCGGAAGTAAAGCAGTAATGTGAATACTGTTCTCCATGTTCTTATTTTTTTTCCTTAAATAAGAGCAAACTTCTTGGAAAAGAACAAAAGAAAAAAACAGTCCACAGACCATCTGGTACAGTTTTACCACAGAGGTTTTTCTTGGCAACAAAAAAAAATTAGGCAAAAGTTTGTACGACTATATATATTGCTTTAATTCTCTCTTATGGACTTGTTTGTTTGCACGCGAGGGAGTGTGCATGCATAGGACTTCTAGGTTTTATTTTATGGATCATCTTTGTTGTTTTATGGAACTTGGGTGATCCACAGGGTGATAAATCTTGTTTTGGAGACCTTTATCCATACCTGAGCAGGGGGAAGCCCTAAGAAGCTCAGTGAACTGTGTTGGAGATGTCTAGATAGACTGTGCAGTTGCAGTGGTGGCTGCAGACAGAATTATTTGCTTTGGAAGTGAGCTGGCAGCATTCAGAGGTAAAATGCCTTAATTACTGAAAGATAATGAAGACCAAGAAACAGTGAAACAAGTGAAGAGGAAACATTAACCTAGTTGGAATATAGCTTTTCTGCCTCAAAAATCAAGATTAATTAGGGACTAAGGCAAATAAATTATTCTCTGTTGCAGTTTATAGCTTTCTCTTTAAGAAATGCAAAACAGTCTTGCATCGTGAAAACTAACATGACATAGCTACAATCCAAGACTGAAGACTTGATAACTAAGCATGTCCCCTGATGATGCTTGCCCAAGAGATTTCATGCTTCAGAATGTAAATGGTCCTCATGTGAAGCTGTGGCAAGAGTTCCCCTCAGTAGCTTTCCTCGCTCGCCTCTACTCTGTTCCAAAACTGATGGAGAAAACAAGCTCTTCACAGGCAAGTAAGTCTCTTGGAAGGCTCATTTATATTGCTTATTGTCCGAAGGAAAATGCTAGACTAGTACTTTATTTCAGTATGTATTGTATTCTGTGCTACGGTAAGTTGTATTTTGTTTTGCAAAAACGGTCAAAGTACATTTGTGATTCTTATTTTGTGGAGGAAATTGAGTCATCTTGCATGGGTTTTACTTGTGAAATCAGAAACAGGTGCAAAAAGAGCAAATGAGATGGGTACCTTGTTGTGGTTTAGGGCACGTCTGAAAAACGCAGGTTACACAGAACATGCAACTGCGGTGAAGGTGATTTTTGGCTATCAGGTAATCAGTTGATCGGTTGCAGTTAACTTAGTGCTGTAATGCTCAAACACCCTCTCTGCAGCACCCAGATCCACATATCGGTGAAGTTAAAATGGGATGTCTTGGTAATGAACTTGAATATAACTTCTGCTTCTTTGCTCACTGTTGAAAGTGTGCAGCGTTTGAGAGAAGGTTTAAGGTGACAAGTCATTTGATGAGTAGAGTCATGTAGTTCGAAAGCTCACTTATGTTTTGCATTGTCCGCAGTAATTCATAACCTCTGCGTGGAGAAAAGCCAGCTGTATTTCTCAGTCATCTTCTCTTTTTTTTGTAGAGAGAAAAACATACCCAAACAATTGCAGAAAAAAATATTCTGATTCCAGTCACTAGTTCTACTCACTTTTCCCACTGCAGTTAGCTTGATTTGGACTTCCTGGGTGCAGGATGATGCAAGCAGACCGAGGAGGCAAACTTAGAGAGGAAGGCCAATAGGAAGGACTTGAGTGATGCTAGAAAAGGGCGAAAGGAGAACAAGAGAAGAACTGAATGCTCTTTTTGAGAGAGAAAGAGAGCTTCTGAAGAGAGCAATTGTGGAAAATTTACTGGAGCTGAAATATTCATCTAAAAATTAATGCTGATTAAACTTTGAATATTCATCTTAAAGCGCTGGTCTTTGTGTCGGGCTCAGAGAGTAGTTATGAAGTAGTCTTCCTTAACTAAGGAAAAATTATACTGACGATGGTAACGAGAGGTTTAGAGTTTTGAGGAGCGCAAAGCAATTCCCTTCCCCCCCCCCCCCCCCACACCCTCCACTCGCACATTATTGACAACAGTGTGGTGTCGTGTTTTGTGCTCTTTTGCATAAGAAGAGGTTCTGTAAGCTTTACAAATAAAGGAATGCCCCTTCCTTACACTTTTTTGAGCTAGCGTTAAGCTGCATCTGCAAGATGCTGATGGAAGAACAAGGAAAACTGCCAGCAAAGAAATGACTTACAAATAATTCTGTTTGATTTCCCCCTCCCCCGACATTCGGCCCACTGAAGCTAGCATGGGAGATGAGAACTAAAAACACAGTTAGTTGTGTCCTTATTGTATATGGTAAGTGTGATAATGAGAAATTACTGCACAGATCAAAGTCTTGAAGAATGCAGTGGGCAGGATCTCTGTTGATGCCATCATTCACAGCTGGAGGCTTTCAGACAAAATAAATGCAGCAAGCAAGTAGTTCTTGCAATTGTGTTCAGAAAATATTTGCCTTTGTTGAAGCTGATAAGCATTTTATTATGTGGCTAAGCCTGCTGATTTTTTTTTTCTTCTAGTCTTCAAAAAATTGCACAGTGAAGATCCCTTAAGTGTAGGTGGGGGTCAGCAAATAAGCTGAGCCCAATAGTGTAAGGCACCTGCTGATTAGTAATGTGGTGCTGATAGTCTGAGCTGCCAGAAATGTAGTGGACAAGCACAACTGATGGCTAAATGTTTACACCCAGAAGCTTAAAACACATCTATTTATTTGTGAATGTCTTTTCCAACACTTTTACTCAAAGGATCTACAAGCGGTTTCCAGCGAATAGTGCTTCTTTCCATACAACCCTTCCCTCAGTAAGACTAGCACTGAACTTGGTCAGGATTTTTTGCTTATAGCAATTGCTTTGTAGCAGTGCAGTATATGCTCTCCTGTGTGTGTGGAGGAGCAGTCTCCTACTTGCCCGTTAGGTTCATTTTGTAAGTTAATTCAGATTTCAAAATGCAGACGTACTTTCACTTCAATAGTGTGAAAATAATTTGGCATAACCTTGTTCAATTGAGTTCCTTAATCTTTGAAAACACACAGCAAAAAGTCTAGCTCTTTAATTGTTTGCTTTTTCTGATGTATTCAGTCTACAGTACTTCCTTAACTTGCGTATTGTCCTTTGAGTGAATTTTCCTTTCATTTTCAATTTCTGCAGTGGATGCTTCTTTTGTAAATAGAAATAAGAGTATTCCTTGGCCTGCTCTTCCTTTTAGGAGATACTCTTGGAAACCTGTTTAGTTTGTTTTGGCTGAATGAGCAGGGAGGGCAGAGCTCTAGGCAAAAGAAAAGAGTTGCTGTTTCTCATTCAGACTTTATTGAGAGCCACAGGTTAGAGAACTGAGTACTGGAATCAATTTGCTCTTTTTTGCGGAGACCATTTTATAGTTGAGTGCCCTTAAATATTTTTTAATGTTGTTACTTATTACAAAAAGCTCTATTGATCTACTGTGCTATCTTGTGTTTTGTTTATTTATTTTCATTGTACATTGTACTTTTCCTGTACCCCGATGTTAGGTACGGTGAAGAGAAAAGGCGTCGCAGGGATGCGTGTTTTGATGTCTAGGACATTGTGAACATAGTAAAAGGAGGACACTTTTCGGGTGATGTTTACAAAGACTGTAACTTGAAAGAATCTAATCTTTGAGTTGTTTAGTCTTATTAGATCTACCTACTCTGTTGGGACGTGTTGTTCAAAAATTGCTTTTAAAACCGGTACTGATTTCCAAGCGCAAAAGAACTGTCTTTTGCCTAGTCACGGTTCTACCCAAGAAGCAGTTGTAAGAGGAAACGTTAGAGAATAAAGGCCCTGATAGCATCACAGCTGTGACGTACCTGGAAATTGTACTTTGAGGTGACTTATTAGTCTGTTTTAATGAAAATAGAGGAACAGAAATAGCAATAAATCTACACTGACAGTGACAGGAGAGATAATGAGATCTGAAACCGATACTCTTGCATGACTGTACATGTTAAAAAGAAACAGATTCAGTTGAGTAAACAAGTGTATGCCATACGTTGTTTCTGTCAAGGTTACAATGCTTTCTTGGGATTTGATCTTTCTACACTCACCAAAACCTGCTTCTGTCTTCTTTGCAGGCCATGGCAACCATAAAGAAAACAGTCCTTTCCTCAACAATTTGGAAGCTGGCAAGGGAGGTGATTACTATGACAAAAATCTGGCCTTGTTTGAGGTAATTTCTGACTGTGTTTCACACTTTGGATGTGACTATCCTTGAGTCCAGAACTGGGAGGGACTGAGCGTATAGTATTTATCATCCAATGGGAGATGGAGCACTGCGAAGATCCGGGTGGTGGGTCAGATCCTAACTGTTGCTGCACTGGAATTGGATGCATTTATAGATATGTCCACAACGTACCAAAGTGTAACGGTACCAGAGGTGACCTGAATAATTTGAATAGTGAAGCTGTGACGCTGTGGGCTGATCAGTGTGGAAAACTAGCATGGGTTAGTTTATCATGTTGAGAAGGTCCATGTTATTGTGTAGGACAGTGCCTGAATTCAGGAACCTGAATTAGCTTGGGTATCCAGTTTTTATAAGTGCAGCGTATCGCTAATACAGATTTCTGCCCCGAATGCTTTCCTGTGGGTATATGTCTGTTGTCTGAGGTAGCAGTAGGCTGGGATATCCTGTGTGATGGAAAAAGCCCAGATATAAGTTCTTGGGAGTGTGAAGCAGAGATAGGCAATTGATTTCACATGGGAGTAAGGAGGTCCAGACTCATACACAGGAAGCCCCGCTGGGCCCACACAGAGTCCAGCAGAATCCTTCTTCTCTTCCTCGCCTCGCTGGCTGTGTGCTTTGGCAGTGCACTACACACAAATATCTCATGGTGCATTAAGACCAGGTTTTGTAAAAAGAGTTCTCGGAACCTGGAGCGCTGGGGAGTGGTGCAGAGAGTCTTTGAACGGCTCTGCAGCTGCTTTCCAGCTGAGCTGCTTAAATACGACTTAACAGCAATCCCTGCGGCTGGTACCCGTGGTTTCCCATGCTGGGAACTCGGTGCAGGGGGACGAGAGCTGGCTCTGCACGCGGCCAAGGTGGCCCCAGCAAAGTTCTGCTGTGTGACATAGAGCCTGAACAAGAATAGCTAACCCGCTGCTAGGTAGCTCCCCCGGAAATGCTCCAGCCGTGTTTGCGTGGCAGTGTGCTTGAGCTAAAAGATCATGAGGCACGCTCCCAGCTCTGGTAACTCTTCCCTCCAAGACATGGCAAATCTGTGACCGGGAATAAGCTCGGTCACAGGTAAAGGGCAGTTGGCTGTATTGTGGAATTCGTGGCTGCCGCTAGTCATGCACCTGCCTTTTTCCATAAACAGTAACAGTACCGCACCATGGCTGTAGGCTGCTTTTGTGGTATTAAAGAGGAGGAGGAGCAGTTAGCATCCCAAATGCCATTTTGCTCAGCTGAATGGAAACACATGTTACTTCAACTTCTTTGTGGAAGGAATTAGAATCAGGGTTTTAAACATGGGAACTGCAGGTTCCATAGACGAGATCTGAGGAAAGAATGGGAAAAGGAGCAACATGTAAATGTTTCTGGGCCAAGAGATTTTTCTGAAATGAATACAGCAGCTTTGTCCTGACCTTGTTCTCATCTAACAACACCTCCCCACTACTATTGTTCTTCAGCTCATGGCATCCATTTGGGTCGCTTCTGCATTGTGTATAATGGCACATAATACTACTAATCCTCCCAGAACCTGTTAATAATGATATATGGAGATATGGTCACACTCCAGACAGTGGAATCCTTCTTACTCAGCTTTTATTTCCTGTGTAGAAAGTTGTTTCTTTTTGCCATGCATTACTTATTGTCCAGTTTGACATGTAGGTTGCTTTTAATTTCATAGAGAAAGGGGAAGGGAATGACTTTGTCCTGATTTTCTTTCTTTGCAGATTAGCTATTTTTCTCTCTCTCTCATTTTCCTCCTCCAAAAAAAAAATTTTTTTTGGTAAGAGGAAGCCATAGATTTGTCCTTGAAATCACTTTCAGAAGCAGAGGTTGGATGGGAAGAACGTAAAGATAGAGGATGTGAGGCCTCCGTGCACTCAACTTTGAGGATTTTTATCTAGACCCATGTGAATTAGATTATGCAGTTTGAAAATTTTAATAATGTGATCAGAATACAGGCAAGCCTACCGTGACTGAACTTTGATCACTGCATCTCTGACTTATTTGGAAACTTGACCCTTATAAAAAGATATCTTTTGCTGTACCTAGCATATCGCTCTAATGTCAGCTTACAAGTTGTTCATTTTCCTGCAGTCCTAAAGCTCAGGGTTCTTTTTTATTGTTGTAATTCATGCTTTGCAGCATATGAGGAGAAGTGTGCTTACAGACTTGTTACTGTAGGGCTTCAGAAAACAAAATCTTTTCATCAGCGATTCAGGCACCGCAAAATACTCTCTTCCCATTGTTGATTATGCTGGTGTGTTTCCCAGCAGCCACAGCCATGAGCTATGTCAAGGAATGCATGACCCCAGCCACTTTTCATAAATGCTGTAACTTGTGGAAGTTGATGGGTTGTCTTCCTTCACAGGAGGAACTGGATATACGACCAAAAGTGTCATCTCTGCTTGGCAAGTTGGTCAACTACACAAATCTTACTCAAGGTGTTAAGGAACATGAAGAAGCAGAAAGTACTGATGGTTCAAAGAAGAAAGTATCAAAAGTAAGTGAAGAGTCTCTCAATGGCTGGCTAACGAATGGGATGATTACATGTGTGATTTTGGAGCGCTAGAGAAATGCCAAAGAAATTGGTCAACGGTAGGTAATTTGATTCTGTCAAAAATTCAGAGTTGAAGTAGTGGTTGAGCACTGTGAGCTCCAGTGCAATTACGTAGGCCTGGATTGCATTTAGGTAAGTAGGTTAGGCTTTTAGCAGTGAATCAAAAATAAAAAAAGAGTTGTTAAATAATTTTCCTAGTGCTGTGTTAGGTGCCCAGTAGTATTTGAGACATCTATACCAACTTGGCAGAAATGACACAAGATTTGCAGGAGACAGCACTCTTTAAAAGAGTGGTGGGTGGAGGTTGGTTGGGTCACCCTGGTGCAGCTGAAACGTCACTCTGCTGTTAGGCGTGTAGGCAACTGAATTCCACCCTGAAGAATTTGCGTTTAGATGATTTGTCCGTTTGGGGCAATCTTGTAATAACCGGGTAAAAGGTGAGGACTGATTGTTGGTAGTTTGATTTCTGTCGGGGGGGGCTGCGTTCTAGCTGTTCTTTTTTAGCTTCTCTGGCAAGTGCTTCAACTAGCGCTGAAACTTCAAGCGGCATTTTATGGCATATACAGGCCTGTCAGTTTGCTTGCAAATCGAAAGAAAGTTTCCCAATAAACTATGAAGTGGAAGTGATAATGCTGAAGAACAGCACATTGTTCTCAAAGAGAACGCGTGTTACCCCGTGCTGAGCGCTGCGTTCCAGTGCCCTTACTCGCCCTCCACTTCCTTTCTCTGCCCGTTTTTACACTGATTTTAGCAAAGTTCTTTAGTCAACACGAAGCTTAAAATTCAGTTTTAGCTGAGGCTGCAAGCACTAAAGTGCTGTAATATTATAGTTAATATGATGTCTTCACAAGACTAAGTGAAGGTTGTCTGGGTGCTGTGACTGTGCGTTTTGGTACTTTAAGTTTGTATTTAAAAAGTAATTTAAACTCTTTATCAGTGAGCTTCTCTTGTGTGATACTTGACGTTACACTAATAGGTGGGTCTGTGCAAAGTTTCCTACCTTCACATTACTAATAGGAAATCTCAGCTACATCTCTGTTTTAACATGCTTTTGATAGGAATAATTATTGTCAGGCATCAACTGATGTCACTTATTTCCTTACTGGAAAACAGGAGAATTTGGTGACCGGTCTGTACTGGAATGTTGGGTAAAAGAGGCTTCAGTAAGGAAAAAAATGGGGCAGACAATAGGAAACTGAGAAATTGTTTTAAATTCCTGGTAGAGTAATATGTAAAGCTTTATGTTAGTATTTCTATATCTAGGTATGATATGTGTTAACGTTCGTGTAGTTTGAAATGAAATTGCTGAAAAACGCACCAATTTTCTACTATCCTCTTTAAAGCTATGCTGCTGTGACCAAATACGCCTTGGGCTCAGTATGTGAGTTGTAATGAATTATGTTTTAACATGTGTTCCTAATGTGTGTTTAGAGACTTTCAGATGTTTTTATAGCATGGATTGAGTAACTGTTCAAAAGTGACATTATCATTCTGTGTTAATATCTCGATATTTTCTGTGTAAATGCTGCAATTTCCTGTGGTGAGTCTTTGCCTAGCATGTCTGTCTCTGAGATGAGTACCTTAGTTGCAGTATCATAGCTGAAGTCTGAATTCCTTCTCTCCCTCCTGACGTAAGCACTGTCAAGTTTCTAAACATCTTGTAGAACATAAGAAAGTTCAATATTAATTTGGCTAATAATTATAACATCAGTAAAAACGGAGAAAATCAATGAGCAGAAGCTGTATGATAGCATGGATTGAAAGCATCCAGACCCTGTACAAACGTGGTTCTTCTACAGGTTTTGAGAACTTCTCAAAACATGTTTTTATCATCTTTGAAGTATAAATCGATGCACTGCTGATACCTTACCCTGTGCATTTGAACATTAGCACAGAAGCCTGAGTATCAGCCCCTGACACAACGGCGTGTTCTGTTTCTAAGTGCCAGCACGGTTAAGAGACTCATTGCTGACTGTTATGCCAGGTACGCTCAGCAAATACATGCTCAGCTAGCATGACAGAAAGTAAGCTACCTCTCCTAATATGTCAGTTACTCGAATTGACGTCTTATAGGCAAGAACTGGAGTAAGGAGGATGAGCTGACTCTAGAACTGATATCCAAAACTGATTAAGAAAACAATCCTTTCAGTAAGTGAATATATAATCCTCTGCCTGAGGAGGGAACACAGATCTCCTGGTGAATTCTCCTTTGAGACCTAGACCTCAAAAAGATCGTATCTATTTAAAAAACAAAAAAAAGGCAGTTGTGTGCATATGAAGTGCTCAAATCTGTGAGGGGGAAAATCTGTAAATCAAATCTGTATGGGGAAAAAATGAGATCTTTCTTCCAAATTTTAAGCTTAAATTAGCAGAGAATGAGGTGCTTTAGCTTGTAGAGATCATTGTTGTCTACACCTGCTTTTTAAATTCACAAGCTCAAAAGAGACTTGGAAATTTTTGCAAGCTCTGGAAAATGTTTTGCATGACTACTCCTCTCCCCATCTCTTAAAATGCTGCAGAGTTTGTGGAAGATTAAAATAAAGATCAGGACAATTTCAGTGCAAAACAGCTCAGCATAAGCATATTGGCCTTTTTCAACATTCCTATTAAATGTTTTTGATAGTGACATGCTGTTAGGTATGCCTCAGATAAAATTAACTCTACTCCATGTAACAGGGTAATGATTTAGGTTGCTTTCTATGTTTTTGCAAATACTGTCTCATACGAGAGCATTTAATAGTCACAGTGCTATAAAAATATTCCCACCTCATGATGGAAGTTCAATTAACTATTTTGGTTCATGTATCTTTAATAAGGCACTTCATTTCTGTGCCGCTGTCTGTCCCCACGCTCCAGCCCAGCCCCAAGAGCTGTCATTACTGATCCGTTTCCCTGAGCCCTGCAGCCAAGTGCTTTGATAACCCATCACACTGGCACAAAGGAAATAGCGTCCTTCAGACTCAAATCAATATTTGTATCAATTATGCATCTGCAGCTGATAAAAGTGAGCGCCGCACATGCGGAAACATGATCTGCATCATTGAAATGGAGACTGTTGCAGAGATTTTCTGTCCCTTGTCCGTTGATCTAAAGCGGTGTTCATCAGAATGTCTTTGTATTTTATTTCCTTTGTGCAGCATGGAGTGTTTACATTTTTTTCATTCGGTAGCTGTTGCGACTGGACATAATGCAATCTGAAATAATTCTGCTGAGAGTATTCTGCTGAGAGTGGAGCGCTGCTTTAGGATCACTTACTGCAGTGGAAGCTGCTAATTATAAGATGCTTTCCAGAAGGGTCAAGTCATTGCAGATCACTGGTATTAAATATCTCTGTGAACAAGCTGGTGCAAGTAGGATTCGTGCATCATTTCTTTATTGGTGGTATTTTTTAATTCCACAGGGTAAGAAAATCCAGAGCAAATTTTTATGCCTGCGGTGCCCTTAGTAATACTGTGGCGTGGGTTGTGTCCGCTAGCAGACACTTATGCCTGCTCTGCAGTAGTCTCATGTACAGCTAATGCAGTTTCCCTTCCTCTGTGGCTGGAGTTAGCTTGTAGCTTGAAGCACCTAAGGGACTACTTCAGAGGGAGACAGAGCAAAGCTGCTGAGTAGAGCAGATGAGAAAGAACTGAGCTAAGATGAATCCCTCTGCAGAGGAACTAGGTATTGGGAGGCCTACAATGGGCAGACCTGTTTTGTTAGTGCTCGGGGTGCTGTCAACAGCATGTCCAAAACTGTTCCACCCGCTCCTCCCAGGCAGGAGCGATAGGTTGGGCTCCTTCCCTTTTCTGAGGTGTGGGTTTTGACGAGCTCTTAGCAAGTCCTTTTTCTCCGAGACATCTACATGTCTGATGAGTTCAGCTGATGCTGGCTGTTGGGTTCAGAGATGTTGTGAGGGGGTGACTGACAGATGAATGGGCAGATTGACAATAAAATTACGTGGAATATCCCTGTAAGAAAGGAGGCTATGAATACATTAACTTGACAATGGGAAGCCCTTACGCAGGGCATATTCCGCTGCCCAGTGTGTTGCAACCTTATTTCGCACTTTCTCAGCTGTTAAGGCTTAGGCAGTTGAAGATTCAAGTTGAATCAGAAGAAGGTGTCTGAATCCAAAGCATCTAAACCTCTCCTCCTTGAGGAGGTAGGTAAACTGTAAAGAATATCTTGAGAAGGTCCTCTTCCCCTATAGCACTGGAATAATTTATTTCAAAATCCTTACCTTGTTCTGATCATGATACTTGTGTAGCAAGTGTCATTTCTGTTAGCATTAGAAGATATTTCTTCTTTCCTTTTCATACATAATCTTGTCAAAGCGGGATCATGATGTTTCCTTCTGTAGGACAGTATAGGTGAAATTTTAGGGTGGTTTTTTGTTTTTTGTTTTTGTTTTTTTTTACACTGGCATTGGAACACGCGAGTATCTCGCAACACGGTTGTCTGGCCCCTTTCTGGTAAGTCCAGTCCACTGCAAACTGTCAGCAAGTGGTTACGTTGCCCATTTTGCTTCAGGCAGTTTACACGAGTTGCAGTGTCTTTGTGGGAAAGTGCGGTTGATCTGATTTAGTCTTAGTCACACAAGGAGTTCAAAATTGACATTAAAAAAAAAATCCAGTCAGCAGTTCCTCAGCGTTTCAAGCAGAAAACCGTTCGGTTCATGCTCTTGGGCGTAGTTCGCTTTCAGCTAAGGTGAGGCACGTCGCTAATGCGGATGAATTTAAACGTATGATTGAAAGTTGAAGCGCTAAGTTCTTAGTGCTTGCTTAGACCTGTTGAAATTATAATGACCTGATTTTTTTTAATTTTTTTTTACGATTCTACTTTATGTAAGGAAACATGCTTTTGCCTTACCTTAGCTTCTCTACCTTTTTCCTTAGCCGATACAAGGCCAGAACAAAGTTTTTGTCAGCCATTTTATCACTTTAAGAGTAATATGCTTGTCTTGAAATGCCACTGCTTTTGATTTGATGACCAGTCAATCTATAACGGTGTGTGTTGCCTATTTATTTTTGCATTTAGTAATGCTGTGTGGAGTCCAATCTTGAACGAGTCTTGTCACCTCCCTTAAACGTCCTTTTCACTTAGGTGGTTGTTCACAGGCTTCCTTAAATGCTAAAGTCTGTAATATGTTTTAGAATTCAAATTTCTTTATGGAAAGAAATGTGAAGAGGAATGAGCCTTTGAAAAATTACACTATCTGTTTCCCCCTATGCGTTTTGTATAGTTTTAAATGCAAAAGAAAACTTCAGACAACAGTAGCTGAGAGATGCCCTGGCAGGAAACCAGTGCAATTTGCCACTCGGAACTGCTGCCAGCGCTGCGTGTGCCAATACAGGGCACACTTGCATTCCTGGAAGTAAAACCCTTATCAGTGGCACGTCGATATCATCATTTGGGATCTGACAATAACTTTTCGGGCAAGGGAGAATTCTACATGATGCTGTATTGAATGTTGGTAACGTGCAGTTCTCTTGAAACTTTAACTTGTATTTTCTCAGTAACTGTCAAAAGTAATTCATGGTCTGATGCCAAGCTTATTTAAACGTAAATAAGGTAGGATCACTAGGTCTACACAAAATACACTATACGTTACTCCAGACTGCTTCCAAATTCTTTTGTAGTTTTAATGTTATGAAAGCATATTTTGCATGAAACTAATTTGTAAACTCTGGGGAAGAGGGTAGAATCGGTCTTACTCCGAGTCCCCAGCCCTCACCTGGCTTCCTACTAGAAACTCTAGTTCTACAGCAAAACAAACTCGTCCAGTTGTTAGTGATTGGTGTTAAATGCTAAGTATAATGACCTGATGTGTGCGTGTGTGATTTCTACTATTTGAAAAACTGAAATTATGTGAACTGAAATTATTTTGGCCACCTGTGTTTTGAATACGTCTAGTTAATGCTGCCATACTTGTTTTTCAGTCACCCAACATGGGCACCCTGATGGGGGTGTATTTACCATGCATGCAGAATATCTTTGGGGTTATTCTCTTCCTTCGGCTGACTTGGATGGTGGGAATGGCAGGAGTTCTTCAGTCCTTCCTGATTGTCTTACTGTGCTGCTGTTGTGTGAGTACATAGTCGAAACAGTGCATGTGCCGTAACCTTTGGGAGACTATCAGAAAATTGGGAGAGGCTGCGCTTTACACGTGTGCGTAGCAAAAAGCCAGTTTAGTGCTAGATGCTTCTGTTGGGCCTGTAAGCCTAAGAATTTTTTATGATAGTAATTTGAAACTGGCAAACTGTATTTAATCTAAATACAGTCTTAAAAATGGCGTTTGCTCGGCAAACAGCTGTTTTCTGGGCCTGTTCCAGGTCAGCGCTGCCTGCTTTGCTGGGCTGCCCCTAGTTGCAATTTCAGCTCTGCAGACAGTACACCTGCACTCTTTATCGTGTTTTGTCTGCAGAGAGCTATTATTTGACCTGATAAGGCAGCAATCATCTCTCTGGCAAAAGTTTCAACAGCTTAATGATTAAATTCCTGTTACTGCTGTTTTCCTTCTAGAAGATGACCTGTCAAGGCAGAATAAGTAGAAACACTGGCAGCTTTGCTCTAACAAGAAATAAGTTACATTTTAAAAAATGTTGACACAATTATTTCCTTTTCTTTTTTTTACCCTAGACTATGCTGACAACCATATCAATGAGTGCTATTGCAACGAATGGCGTTGTTCCAGGTAAATGCAATTAAGAACCTTCTCATTTGTGGAAAAATTGTTGCTCTAAGCTATTAACATGGCTTTATTCCTCAGAAATTTGCCTAAGCCAGGATACAAAGCCTGAATTCATATCTTGTATCTCTGGTTAGTATCACTTAGGCGAAAGATTCATTTATTTGGCTTTTAGTTACCACTCTGCTAATAAAAAGTTATTTTAACTGAAGCCCTAAAAAAGCAGATGCACGATGTATAATTTTATTGTATACTTGCTGTGAGTATTTTTAAGTTTATGACACTTACAAAATCACCGTTTTACTTCCACTCTTCTTGTTTCATAGCTGGTGGCTCCTATTTCATGATATCCAGGTCATTAGGCCCCGAGTTTGGTGGAGCTGTAGGGCTGTGCTTTTATTTGGGAACAACGTTTGCAGGAGCGATGTATATCCTTGGTGCCATTGAGATTTTATTGGTGAGTAGTACTGTAGTAGTGACGCTTTTAAGAGAATTAACATATGGAAAGTACTGCAGAATTCTTGTCTCATATTCATATACGTATTCAAAGGCAGAGACCAGGTCTACACATTCTTGCTGCCCAATTTTCCACTACTAGCGCTACCCTCTAAAAGTTGTGCGCTCTGTGGGTATCCAGAATGGAAGCTTCCTTGAAAACCTGTATGGAATTATGGCTTAATCAAAGAAATATGCTCATAATTGATCTCGCTGACTCAGCCGTGTTATTGAAATAGAATAGCCTGTTGGGGTTGGACCGGATGATCTCCAGAGGTCCCTTCTAACCCCCGTTGTTTTGTGATTCTTTTCTCCTTTGTCTTTTTTCTGTAAACTGAAGATTCTTGGTGAAGAGCGTGTTGCGAATGGGAAAGTGGTTTACATTTCTGGCATAGGTAAAGATCATTACAATAGTTTAGACAGAGTTCTCTTGCTGTGTTCCTTCAGCTTGCTTTCTTCTTGTTTCAGACATACATTGTGCCACAAGCAGCAATTTTTCATCCATCCGGTGCCCATGATGCATCCAGTGCTATGCTAAACAATATGAGGGTGTATGGAACTGTATTCCTCATCCTAATGGCAGTAGTGGTCTTTGTAGGTGTGAAATATGTTAACAAATTTGCTTCCCTCTTCTTGGCCTGCGTAGTAATATCTATACTGTCCATTTATGCTGGAGCTATCAAGTCCATCTTTGATCCACCTGAATTTCCGTGAGTAATCTTTCTGCGTGGGGGTATATATAGCTTTGCCTATGATTCAATGGAAGGGTATGGAGGGATTCAGCGTCGCTGTATACGGTGACAGTGATAGCTTTCTGTATGCAGAGCCCATGGAATAGAAGTTCCTAGGCTAAAATAAACACATTTGTTACATTCTTTAACTGTGTTGGTAAGACAAAGTCTCCTGGTGAGGAGAGCAAAATGATGATGGCTGTCATTTCTCTGCCTTCCACAGGACAGTCCGCTATCTTAACCCAGGGCTGTTCGGTTCATTTTTAGCAAGATTTTTGCTGGGTTATTTACTGCAGTCCTCTCAGTAGGAAGCAGTGTGGCAGCTCTGCTTTCCCTAGGCCAGTCAGACATGATGTGCTGCCTTTGCAGCTGGAAACTCTGGTGGTATACTGCAGCTGCTTGCTGAGAAACGGGGGCCGTCTCTCAGGAGCGTGGGAGGCATGATGCATGGGGCCTTGCCGAAGCTCCAGCAAAACTTCCTTCTGGTCTGGATGCGGATGAGCCTACGGTTAGAGTAGCTTTGCTTTGAACACAACATAACTCTTGCTGTGCCAAGGAGCATAAACGTGTAATACGGTGTCTTAAACTCCAAGTTGGAGTAGAAATAATATAGAAGCATGTGTTTTAACAGAAGTGCAAACGGTGTTTCCTGGTACCGTTGACAAGTGATGAATGGAAATAAAGTAGTTGAGCCTGTGTAGTTATTCACATCTTTGTTATTGCTGCAGGATCTTGAGTAGTCACAACCCTCAAGTACTTCCTTTAGATATTTAGGGCCCAACAATTGTGTTTTACAACAATGGCAGATTTACAGGAGTAAATTGTTAGATTGTTCTTGAATGTTTCTCCCTATCTTTCTTTAGGCTGTATTCCGTTTTCTTTTGCTGCAGATACTCAATTCATTAAACTGTATTGATTTTTCTTTTTTATACCCCTTCCAAAATTGTTGGAAAAGTGGCTTTTATACTCCTGACCTTTAGAGGGAAGAGCTAGACAGTCCTTGTTGTACTGCTAGCGTCTGCTTGAGGCTGAGCAATTGTGGAGCAGGCAAGAGCCACTTGAAGTTACAATGATATGAAGGGAGGACAGTGGGGAAGGGTGGCGGTCTCATTTCCAGGTACCACATAAACACTTAAATAGTTACTGCTGTTATGTTTCCCTTACAGGATTTGCATGCTGGGCAACAGGACTTTGTCAAGAGATCAGTTTGATGTTTGTGCCAAAACCATAGTTAAGGATAACATTACTGTGGCCTCTAAGCTTTGGGAGCTCTTCTGCCACAGTACAAACTTAACCACCGATAACTGTGATGAATATTTCCTGCTCAACAACGTGTCAGAGATAGCAGGGATTCCAGGAGCTGCTAGTGGCATTCTAAAAGGTATGATAGAAAATGTCCTTGCCTTAAAAGAGGAGACATGCAGAGTAGTTGAAATGGGTTGATCTGTTCCATGCTGGTTGATAAAAGAGGGACTAAATGGATGCGATGACAGTGAGGAAAATTCTCTTCAATGAAGAAAACCATGTGTTATAATCCTTAAAAAAAGTAGATAGCATTTATCTCCTGATACAGTACTTGTCTGTTGTAAAATTGATTAAATTTACCTTGTACATCTCATGATGACTTTCAGTGGGAAGTCAGTTATAATTGAGGAGTACTAACATGACAAAGTTGGTGTCATTTTTCAAAGCTCTATTAACCTGTCTAACCTTGAGAGTCATAGACTAGGTCTTGAAGAATAGTATAAAAATAATCTGTCTCCCCCTTTGCCCGCTCTTGAATCTAACATTTTTGAAACGTGTTCATTGTCAACAAGAATTACAGAAAACAGTTGCTATGTACAGGTGCTGAGCGTGTAAAATTCCCATTTTCACAGGAGCCAATAGTCTAATTCCTAAAATGGACTCAGCATTTATTTGTGAAATTTCAAAGAATATATTCGTATGCCTACCATATAATTCTCTAATTCTTCCACTGTCTAAAAATCAAGTTAGTTTATATCCATAAATCTGGTTTTGTGAATCGCTGCATATAGGTATGGCAGTTCATTAGAAATGCTTGATGTATTTCTTGCGGTTAAAATAAGTGTGAAATTAAAAGAATGTTGCATTCGGTAACCTTAAAGCATAAAAGGTAAATATGCTTAAACTTCTGTAGGCTATTCATACATGATTACTAGTTTTATTACATTTTCTCTTGAAAACATGAAATACAGACTTTCTCTCACGTAGCTTGTGTATGTCTAGTTTGTGTTGATCACTGAATTGCGTGAATTGCATTTGCAGTCTTCAGTCATCGATTCGTTATGAGAACAGGTTTGAACTGAAACATGCTTTTCTTTTCTGTGGTATGTTAATAACCTTCAGACAACTTATGGAGCAATTATTTGGAGAAAGGAGAGATACTGGAGAAAGCACATCAGCCATCTGTTGATGTGGCAGGTCAGAAGAACAATCTTCATCTGTACGTGCTTTCGGATATAGCTACTTCATTCATGGTGCTGGTTGGCATCTTCTTCCCTTCCGTGACTGGTGAGAACACTGGGAAAAGAGGGCATCTTGAGTCTCTGAGCTTTCTTTGCTCCTTTGGACTTACATCACAAACGTATTTTCAGGCATCATGGCTGGTTCAAACAGATCAGGGGACCTCAAAGATGCACAGAAATCCATTCCCATTGGAACAATTCTTGCCATTGTCACCACATCACTAGTCTGTATCCTTTTAAAATTAGCGGAGTCCTAGCACATTATGTCTCAGATGAGTGACTGTATATCTGATCCATGGAACCGCTTTCAGCTGACTAAATTATCAGTGCGAATGTAATCAGTCAGTGAAAACAGACAGTCGGTGAGCTGAAAGCATCTGAATTGTAATCTTGTTGTTTTCCATCCCTTTTTGTGTTGTTTTGCTCTTTTGCATTTCAGTTGCTTGTCTTTGCTACACAGTGGTCTATGGCTTCTCTAACCAATCTATGACTGGTTGAGTACAAGTGGATTTTTTTAGGCTGTAGTGGACCGTTAAGACGAGGGAATGTCTGAAATGTGGAGATCATAAATTTCAGTTTCTTAAACAAATAGGCCTTTTAGTTGAGTGACATCAAGGAGTATGCGCTTCCTTGAACGTTTTAAAGTAAGAGAAACCAGAATTAAACTAATTTAGTGCATCCCTAAGTGCTCCTTGGGTTTCATGTGTAGGATCAGCTTATTCACCCATGTAGTGTGTGGTGTGTGTTTTTTGTTTTATTTTGGTTTTGCTTTTTAACATATATCTGATTTAATGCTACTCCATGGTTCTTGGATACGTCCCCAGGTAGCACGCGTGGAAGTTCACAAACACTGTGCTCAGGAGTGGGTTCCACGTAGCTGGGAATGACTCGTTCCCAGCCTGTTTCCACTGAGGCTGTGCAGGGTTTTAACTTGTGGTTTAATCTTGACAAGGCTATGTAATGAGTTTGCTAACCTCTCATAAGAAAGAAGCATAAGTGATTCAGTGCAGTTGGTAGAACATGAAGGTGTTTCTGGTACCGATTTCTAGGTGCCGAGTATTTGTTCACTTCTGTGGCAGTTGTAGATGTCGGATTTCACGTGTGATTGAACTCTGGAGGGCTTAGGTCCATGGGATCTTTGCTTAGGAGAGGCTGCCCTTTTTTCTCTTCTCTCCTGCTTTGATCTTTGGGCTTCATCCAACTGCTGATGCCCTAAACTACAATTTATTGAGGCAGGATGCAGGGGGGGGGGGGGTGGGGGAAGAGGCAATTAATACAGGCAAGGGCTTTGGAATTTCTTTGTAAGAGTGTCTGAAAAAGTTCCACCCAAAGGGTGGTGTAGCTTGCCAGGCTATAGCTCGGGATCCCAGCTCGCTTGTCCCAGCTTCTTAGGAACGCAGCCTTTTCCAGGTGCTACTTCTGCAACTGGCCCTGTACCAAATATTCTGTTTCCCATGAACATAATAGATATTAAAACGGTTTACAGAAATCACCCGTAGCTCTGCTGTTGCAAACGACTTTTCCAGCTCAAAATTCATTTTGTGCTGGATAACTTCATACCTAGATATTAACACGCCACCCAGTGGAAAGCTCGCACCATAATTTTTAGAAGCAATCAGTATGTCTCCTTTTATTACTCTTTGTATTTTACGGCTACGTTTTAGAGCTAGAAGGGAAGAGTTTAGAATTTTACCATTGATGTAAACGTAAATCACAAGGTCAAAAACTTACTGGAAAGACAGACCAAAAGACCTGAAATATTTTGTATTGCCCAGTGCAGAAGTAGTACAGCTTAATAACAAAACCACTATTCAAAGACCTAGTGATGACCTGGATGACCTCAGAGACCATGAAATGAGAAGGTGCAAGCTAATGGTTTGCTATCCATTCAAAACATCTTCAGATGAAGGAGAAGGAGAGATAGCTATTTTAATATCAGTTTCTGCTCTAGCTTAATAGCAGATTAAATTGGCATTTACATGTAAGACTATTTCTTTTGAAATAATCTCCTTTATCCTACTTTTTAAAATTAGCTTTTTTTAAAAAAAAAAAAAAAGCGTCTTAGAACAATAACTGTGTATCACCTTCAATATTAAAAGGTATGCATGAGCACTGAGACATTAATTTACTCATCAGCTTTATCACGCATTTATAGGAGAGGCCACTGTGCAAATGCCGTAGGGCAGAAGCATGCATTGAACTTTTCACAGTACTTGCTGTGATTATTTACATCTGCCATGTTTAAATAAAACCTGCTTCCTTAGCACGCTCTGTACTCAAGACTTCAGTTGCGTGTTATTATTTGGAGCCTGCATAGAAGGTGTAGTCCTGCGAGATAAGTAAGTAACCAATAAGTTTTACTGCTTTAACATTTTCCTTTCTTTTTGCAGGGAGGGTATGTTCTTTTGCGCTTTAAATAATTTATTTATTTGGCTCTTACTTCTGGGTGTCTTTTGCGAAAGGATGTTTTGGGTATCTCCTTGTATTTGATTTAATGTTTTGTAGCCTGGCTCCGTCAGATTTTAAATATCATGTCTTAGTTTTTCTGACCTATTTCTTTTTGTTGCCTATTTTGCCAGGGATACTTTGCTCAAAGATCAGATCCCCAAAACAGGATTCCCAAAAACAAACTATAGGTTTTAGTTTTTGTAGAGAAAACAGATAATACAGCACAAATCCACTTTATTTTTCCTGCTTTTTTTTTTTTCTTTAAACTGCGTCTTCCTTTTTAGATCTTGGGTTTTAGCAAAGTTACTCTTACAGATTTGACCCTTTTTTTTTTTTTTTTTTAAACAAATTGGGTTTACAAACTTTTCTGGATTCATCGTCTGCTGAGAAACTATTACCAGATTTTTGTAAGGTGTTGATGATATCAATGATATTTGCTGAATAGCTTAAATAGTGTCACCCTATTGTATGTTAGCAGATAGCCAACTTAGTCAAGGGCCAGTATAATGTATATTCCCTGACCTACGCCAAAGAACAATGCTAAAGGGTAGGTGGCTAGTCCACCCTTACATCTGTACCTGTTAGGAGGAACTGTTTCCTCATAGCATTTGTAATCGTTTTGTTGCATGCAAATCAAACCAAGAAACCGAGCCAGAGAACCGTAACAGGATAACTGTGGTATTTGGTTATCTCTGCCCTCAGATTATTAATTCTCAAACCCTTTAGCCTATAAATCCAATAACAGTGTTCCTGGTGCTAGATTTTACAAGTGCATTTTCTGAAAACTCCTCTCACGTTGCTAGTCTTTTTCCAGGGGACAAGCAGGGAAGTGCTTGTGAAGGAAATTCTGTTTGGAGGCGGGGGGGGAGGAAAGAAGGAAAAAAGCCCGCACCCTTCTGTAGGAGTGAGTGATCCTGGACTGTGTCCCTTTACCACATGCTGAAAAGGCTTAAAGCAAAAAGTCCGCAGAATGTTACTGGTTGGGTATTTTAAACAGTGAACTTTAAGAACTGCATCTTACCAGCTGAAAGTAGGAGATGATACTCTGTTAATAAAGCAAGAGTTTTAGAATAGTCAAAAGAAAGGCTTCAAATTGCTGAACTGAGGCCGCAGACATTTCTCATCTGTGTGTTGGGAGTAACTCATGTAACTGTTTGCAAATTCCTGTATGTCCCGCTCAAGAAAGTAACATCTCCAAACCAGCCCAGAAAGCCAAACGTGATAATCGAAACGCTCCTCTAAGCACAAATGTGTCGCTGTTCTTCCCGCAGGTACGGCGATGCGGTGAACAAGAACTTAGTGGTGGGCACCCTCTCCTGGCCCTCGCCGTGGGTCATCGTGATAGGGTCCTTCTTCTCCACTTGTGGGGCCGGCTTGCAGAGCCTTACCGGGGCCCCCCGGCTGCTGCAAGCTATAGCAAAGGACAACATTATCCCTTTCCTCTGGGTCTGTACATGTTAAAGAAGGGCATTCTGTACATAATAACTATCCAACCGTTTGACTTTATATTCTTAGAAATCAGATTTGTTTTTCCCAGTTTGCCCAATGTTTAAGTTAAGATGAATATCTTTTATTTTAATGCTTTGTTTTCTTTTGTTAAAAACTAGGAATACTTCTAAAGGAGCTTGAATAGACTTATATGGTAATTTTGTGAAGAACTAACATCTAATTTGGTGAAGCAGAGAAAGCCATTAGAGTTGTTTGGCTCCTTGCTCTAGAGAAAAAGTATATAGGCACATTGCTGCTGTTTTTTGAATATAATTTTTGTAGTTATTATTATAACCTCATGAAATACTTGGCAAGCATGCTTTGTTTTTAGTGACTAAAGTTGAAAATGTTTCTGTTTGTTCAGATTTTTGGCCATGGCAAAGCAAACGGTGAACCAACGTGGGCTCTTCTGTTAACAGCATTAATTGCTGAGCTGGGAATCCTTATTGCCTCACTTGACATGGTGGCTCCAATTCTCTCAATGTAAGAGGGGCAGTTGCTCTAAAATAAACATGATATGCTTTTGAGTTTTGCTAATTTGATTGCTTTTCAGAACCGTATCTTAAACCAATAAAGCATATTGCTGGAACCTGAGTTCCACTTTTATTTCTTTGAATTTTCCAACATCTGGCTTCACACATAAATCAGTTTGTTTCTGCTCTAGGGTGTACTGTGAATAAATATATTTTTCCTATTGCTGGATTATTATTTTCCTTGGAAAAAATGTTATTTTTAACATAGAACATTGTGAAAGATAAGGGTAGCGCTGCAGAGAGATCTAGCTAGATCCAATTAAAATACTTTTCTAACTACTTTGCACTGATAGTTCAGGCTAATAAAAATTAGGGGTAGGCACACATGACAAGGCAGATGAATTTTAGCTGTAGGTCATGCATGTGATTATAATATATGCCGAAAGTGTACAAGTAGGTGGGCTAAAGGTGTGGTTTTTTTCTCTCTTCTCCCTCATCTCTAGGTTTTTCTTGATGTGTTACCTCTTCGTTAATCTAGCATGTGCAGTGCAAACACTTCTTAGGACTCCAAACTGGCGGCCCCGATTTAAATACTATCACTGGTAAGCCAATGGCTGGTGCACTCGACGCCTAGTCTGTAATCTGTGAGGGGGGTTTTGGAAGAACCCTCTCCGAGAGGGCTCTGGGCATGTTTTATTTTTCCAGATCTTTGTCGTAGGCAAGGGGACAGCAACGTAATGTTCATCATCAACCAGAACAAAGATGCTTAATGGAATGGGAGTTTCATTCCCCCAACAGGAGATTAGAACTTCGCAGAGAGGGGACGTACTGGAAGCTTGACTTTCATTGCCAGTTCAGAACAGAGACTTTAAAGAAAAAAAGAAGCAAAAAGAGAGTGACTTGTTCTTAGCTTTTTCTCCCCCACTGCTTGCTAATATCCTTGTTCTTCTTTTGTTTTAGGGCCCTGTCATTTTTAGGTATGAGCATTTGCTTGGCATTGATGTTCATTTCGTCTTGGTATTACGCTCTGGTAGCTATGCTCATTGCGGGCATGATATACAAGTACATTGAATATCAAGGGTAAGTAGTAAGTAAGTAAGACGGGAAGGAGTTTGAATCTATTTTTTATAACTTATCTCTAGCCTTCACGTTTGCAAAAGGAATGGGTACTGTCTACCGACATGAGTTGGAGACTTCCTCTTGTTAGTATTTTTCATTGTTTTGTTGTGTCAGTGCAGAACAAAAGCCTCTGAAATCTTAGGGACGTGTTGAATCTTAGGGCTTTGTTAGGCCTCTAAGTGTGTGCTGTGAAATTTGTGCATCGCAAGAAACAAACAGCGCCTGGGGACTATGCTTCTGCTGTCTGTCACACGCCATTACTTCAGGCCCAGAACACCTGAAGGCAGCCATCTTTTAATCCAGTTTATCTGGTGCAAAAGTTTGTCTTGAATAGTCCTTGAAAAGCAGAATCCGTGGTTAGGCTGGCTCAGATAGTTAATCTCTTACGGGGTCATGCTGGGAGTGTGGCTGTATAACTTAATTTTATCAAATAATGTATTGAAATGCCTCGTGTTTGTTTAGGCTTGGGAAACCTCATCTGTAGTGGAGTATTGGTTACAAATAATACCCAGAAAGATGGTGGTGTCCTACATCAGATATTTGCGTTTTGCTCATGTGATGCATATCATGTAAATGCATGTGTGTATCACATGTATGTGTAAGTATGCATCACATCTGATACGTGGTATTTTTCACATAATGAAATCATTGCCTTATAATGAGTTTAATAAACATAGCTGTAAGCGTGCAATTAAATGCAACTATATGTTGGCTAAATTGTGTGTCCTTCACAGTGCGGAGAAGGAGTGGGGTGATGGCATCCGAGGTCTTTCGCTCAGTGCAGCAAGATACGCCTTACTCAGACTGGAGGAGGGCCCTCCACACACAAAGAACTGGAGGTACTCATTTTAGTCTAGTAAAACACAGTCAACCATGATTATCTTCTTACATGTAAGGAATTACACTGGACTGCAAATGAGATTTTTCTTTTTTTTTGGTCTGTGTGAATGAATTGAAATGTGCAGAATATAAAACACAATGAGCCTGTGTAAACTGTCCTGACGCTACCCTAGCCCTCCTGGGTAGGACCTGTGTAAGTAGCCCTTTCTTACGCTTTGGACCTTTAATCAGACTCTGAGTTCAGAAGTGAAACTTGGGGAAACCATAAAGACCTGTGAGTACAGAGACCCATGTAACTTGTCTGGGGTGCACAAAGAAGTCCCTGCTCTCATTCTAGGCTTAAAAACTGAAAGAGCAGCGAACATCTTTCCCTCTCACCTTGTGTGTTGAAACCAGATTCTGTGGGCAAGAACCTTCGTCTCTGTTATGGGTTGCACAGCTCTCTCCTCTTAAGCTCTGAACAAGAGGAGTAGAAATTTGCCTTAAATAAGAATTTAATATATTCTTATGCTTGCCTAAACATAGCTTAGGAGAGAAAATACTGATGTGTAGTGATACTTTAAGGGACATAACGGCAGGTGGGATCTGTATGTTTAGAGAAATGCGAATATTTTATCTACTGTTTGGCACAAATATCCAGATAGATCTGGAGGGACAGGCTTACTGCATGAATACAGTGTGTGCTCCAGTTGTACTTAACAGCCTTGAAAATGAAACACGTAAATAAGATACTCATGCAGGCCTCTTAAGCTGAGTACATGAAAGGGTTTTAGTACCGTCAAAATGGTACAGCAGAAGAGTTTCCTCACTTCTTCAAATCTGCCTTGGGTCAAGAGGAATAAATGTAGTATTGAAATCTTTCTAATGTGTGAGTTATAGAAAGACCATACTGCATTGTTGCTGGTGTCAGAGTCAGTATTCAAGTGCTATTAACGCGCCCAGAGAGGCAATTTAAGTGTTTCCGTAAAACATCAGTAAAGATTAAATTCCCATTTTTACTTTCTCTAGGCCTCAGTTGCTGGTGCTTCTGAAACTTGATGAAGATTTACATGTAAAATACCCTAGACTGTTAACATTTGCATCCCAGCTGAAAGCTGGCAAAGGTTTGACTATCATAGGATCAGTGATCCAGGGGAATTTCTTGGAGACTTATGGAGAAGCCCAGGCTGCTGAGCAGGTCAGTGTTTTAAACAGAAATTCCTGAAGGAAAAAGAGGGGTGAGTGCAGAGATAACTTAAGTCTCATAATCATACGTGGGAAAAGATACTTTAGTAAGACTTCCGTTACTTGAGTGGTCCTACACCTGTTCAGTAAAGAGTTTGCAAACGTGTTTCAGTTTATGTAAATAAATACAATAACATAGCATGTTATATATGGGAATCTGAAACAGGAAATCCAAATGAAACTAATTAGGTTAATAAAAAAAAAAAAGGTTGTTCTAGGATTAGAAGGTGAAATAGTAACACAGATCATCTTCCTAAGAATTACTGCCCTTACAAATAAGGGACTATAGCACAAACCAGAAAAAAAAAATTTGTTAGAAGTTTACAAACTTTTCTGGATTCATCGTCTGCTGAGAAACTATTACCAGATTTTTGTAAGGTGTTGATGATATCAATGATATTTGCTGAATAGCTTAAATAGTGTCACCCTATTGTATGTTAGCAGATAGCCAACTTAGTCAAGGGCCAGTATAATGTATATTCCCTGACCTACGCCAAAGAACAATGCTAAAGGGTAGGTGGCTAGTCCACCCTTACATCTGTACCTGTTAGGAGGAACTGTTTCCTCATAGCATTTGTAATCGTTTTGTTGCATGCAAATCAAACCAAGAAACCGAGCCAGAGAACCGTAACAGGATAACTGTGGTATTTGGTTATCTCTGCCCTCAGATTATTAATTCTCAAACCCTTTAGCCTATAAATCCAATAACAGTGTTCCTGGTGCTAGATTTTACAAGTGCATTTTCTGAAAACTCCTCTCACGTTGCTAGTCTTTTTCCAGGGGACAAGCAGGGAAGTGCTTGTGAAGGAAATTCTGTTTGGAGGCGGGGGGGGAGGAAAGAAGGAAAAAAGCCCGCACCCTTCTGTAGGAGTGAGTGATCCTGGACTGTGTCCCTTTACCACATGCTGAAAAGGCTTAAAGCAAAAAGTCCGCAGAATGTTACTGGTTGGGTATTTTAAACAGTGAACTTTAAGAACTGCATCTTACCAGCTGAAAGTAGGAGATGATACTCTGTTAATAAAGCAAGAGTTTTAGAATAGTCAAAAGAAAGGCTTCAAATTGCTGAACTGAGGCCGCAGACATTTCTCATCTGTGTGTTGGGAGTAACTCATGTAACTGTTTGCAAATTCCTGTATGTCCCGCTCAAGAAAGTAACATCTCCAAACCAGCCCAGAAAGCCAAACGTGATAATCGAAACGCTCCTCTAAGCACAAATGTGTCGCTGTTCTTCCCGCAGGTACGGCGATGCGGTGAACAAGAACTTAGTGGTGGGCACCCTCTCCTGGCCCTCGCCGTGGGTCATCGTGATAGGGTCCTTCTTCTCCACTTGTGGGGCCGGCTTGCAGAGCCTTACCGGGGCCCCCCGGCTGCTGCAAGCTATAGCAAAGGACAACATTATCCCTTTCCTCTGGGTCTGTACATGTTAAAGAAGGGCATTCTGTACATAATAACTATCCAACCGTTTGACTTTATATTCTTAGAAATCAGATTTGTTTTTCCCAGTTTGCCCAATGTTTAAGTTAAGATGAATATCTTTTATTTTAATGCTTTGTTTTCTTTTGTTAAAAACTAGGAATACTTCTAAAGGAGCTTGAATAGACTTATATGGTAATTTTGTGAAGAACTAACATCTAATTTGGTGAAGCAGAGAAAGCCATTAGAGTTGTTTGGCTCCTTGCTCTAGAGAAAAAGTATATAGGCACATTGCTGCTGTTTTTTGAATATAATTTTTGTAGTTATTATTATAACCTCATGAAATACTTGGCAAGCATGCTTTGTTTTTAGTGACTAAAGTTGAAAATGTTTCTGTTTGTTCAGATTTTTGGCCATGGCAAAGCAAACGGTGAACCAACGTGGGCTCTTCTGTTAACAGCATTAATTGCTGAGCTGGGAATCCTTATTGCCTCACTTGACATGGTGGCTCCAATTCTCTCAATGTAAGAGGGGCAGTTGCTCTAAAATAAACATGATATGCTTTTGAGTTTTGCTAATTTGATTGCTTTTCAGAACCGTATCTTAAACCAATAAAGCATATTGCTGGAACCTGAGTTCCACTTTTATTTCTATGAATTTTCCAACATCTGGCTTCACACATAAATCAGTTTGTTTCTGCTCTAGGGTGTACTGTGAATAAATATATTTTTCCTATTGCTGGATTATTATTTTCCTTGGAAAAAATGTTATTTTTAACATAGAACATTGTGAAAGATAAGGGTAGCGCTGCAGAGAGATCTAGCTAGATCCAATTAAAATACTTTTCTAACTACTTTGCACTGATAGTTCAGGCTAATAAAAATTAGGGGTAGGCACACATGACAAGGCAGATGAATTTTAGCTGTAGGTCATGCATGTGATTATAATATATGCCGAAAGTGTACAAGTAGGTGGGCTAAAGGTGTGGTTTTTTTCTCTCTTCTCCCTCATCTCTAGGTTTTTCTTGATGTGTTACCTCTTCGTTAATCTAGCATGTGCAGTGCAAACACTTCTTAGGACTCCAAACTGGCGGCCCCGATTTAAATACTATCACTGGTAAGCCAATGGCTGGTGCACTCGACGCCTAGTCTGTAATCTGTGAGGGGGGTTTTGGAAGAACCCTCTCCGAGAGGGCTCTGGGCATGTTTTATTTTTCCAGATCTTTGTCGTAGGCAAGGGGACAGCAACGTAATGTTCATCATCAACCAGAACAAAGATGCTTAATGGAATGGGAGTTTCATTCCCCCAACAGGAGATTAGAACTTCGCAGAGAGGGGACGTACTGGAAGCTTGACTTTCATTGCCAGTTCAGAACAGAGACTTTAAAGAAAAAAAGAAGCAAAAAGAGAGTGACTTGTTCTTAGCTTTTTCTCCCCCACTGCTTGCTAATATCCTTGTTCTTCTTTTGTTTTAGGGCCCTGTCATTTTTAGGTATGAGCATTTGCTTGGCATTGATGTTCATTTCGTCTTGGTATTACGCTCTGGTAGCTATGCTCATTGCGGGCATGATATACAAGTACATTGAATATCAAGGGTAAGTAGTAAGTAAGTAAGACGGGAAGGAGTTTGAATCTATTTTTTATAACTTATCTCTAGCCTTCACGTTTGCAAAAGGAATGGGTACTGTCTACCGACATGAGTTGGAGACTTCCTCTTGTTAGTATTTTTTATTGTTTTGTTGTGTCAGTGCAGAACAAAAGCCTCTGAAATCTTAGGGACGTGTTGAATCTTAGGGCTTTGTTAGGCCTCTAAGTGTGTGCTGTGAAATTTGTGCATCGCAAGAAACAAACAGCGCCTGGGGACTATGCTTCTGCTGTCTGTCACACGCCATTACTTCAGGCCCAGAACACCTGAAGGCAGCCATCTTTTAATCCAGTTTATCTGGTGCAAAAGTTTGTCTTGAATAGTCCTTGAAAAGCAGAATCCGTGGTTAGGCTGGCTCAGATAGTTAATCTCTTACGGGGTCATGCTGGGAGTGTGGCTGTATAACTTAATTTTATCAAATAATGTATTGAAATGCCTCGTGTTTGTTTAGGCTTGGGAAACCTCATCTGTAGTGGAGTATTGGTTACAAATAATACCCAGAAAGATGGTGGTGTCCTACATCAGATATTTGCGTTTTGCTCATGTGATGCATATCATGTAAATGCATGTGTGTATCACATGTATGTGTAAGTATGCATCACATCTGATACGTGGTATTTTTCACATAATGAAATCATTGCCTTATAATGAGTTTAATAAACATAGCTGTAAGCGTGCAATTAAATGCAACTATATGTTGGCTAAATTGTGTGTCCTTCACAGTGCGGAGAAGGAGTGGGGTGATGGCATCCGAGGTCTTTCGCTCAGTGCAGCAAGATACGCCTTACTCAGACTGGAGGAGGGCCCTCCACACACAAAGAACTGGAGGTACTCATTTTAGTCTAGTAAAACACAGTCAACCATGATTATCTTCTTACATGTAAGGAATTACACTGGACTGCAAATGAGATTTTTCTTTTTTTTTGGTCTGTGTGAATGAATTGAAATGTGCAGAATATAAAACACAATGAGCCTGTGTAAACTGTCCTGACGCTACCCTAGCCCTCCTGGGTAGGACCTGTGTAAGTAGCCCTTTCTTACGCTTTGGACCTTTAATCAGACTCTGAGTTCAGAAGTGAAACTTGGGGAAACCATAAAGACCTGTGAGTACAGAGACCCATGTAACTTGTCTGGGGTGCACAAAGAAGTCCCTGCTCTCATTCTAGGCTTAAAAACTGAAAGAGCAGCGAACATCTTTCCCTCTCACCTTGTGTGTTGAAACCAGATTCTGTGGGCAAGAACCTTCGTCTCTGTTATGGGTTGCACAGCTCTCTCCTCTTAAGCTCTGAACAAGAGGAGTAGAAATTTGCCTTAAATAAGAATTTAATATATTCTTATGCTTGCCTAAACATAGCTTAGGAGAGAAAATACTGATGTGTAGTGATACTTTAAGGGACATAACGGCAGGTGGGATCTGTATGTTTAGAGAAATGCGAATATTTTATCTAATGTTTGGCACAAATATCCAGATAGATCTGGAGGGACAGGCTTACTGCATGAATACAGTGTGTGCTCCAGTTGTACTTAACAGCCTTGAAAATGAAACACGTAAATAAGATACTCATGCAGGCCTCTTAAGCTGAGTACATGAAAGGGTTTTAGTACCGTCAAAATGGTACAGCAGAAGAGTTTCCTCACTTCTTCAAATCTGCCTTGGGTCAAGAGGAATAAATGTAGTATTGAAATCTTTCTAATGTGTGAGTTATAGAAAGACCATACTGCATTGTTGCTGGTGTCAGAGTCAGTATTCAAGTGCTATTAACGCGCCCAGAGAGGCAATTTAAGTGTTTCCGTAAAACATCAGTAAAGATTAAATTCCCATTTTTACTTTCTCTAGGCCTCAGTTGCTGGTGCTTCTGAAACTTGATGAAGATTTACATGTAAAATACCCTAGACTGTTAACATTTGCATCCCAGCTGAAAGCTGGCAAAGGTTTGACTATCATAGGATCAGTGATCCAGGGGAATTTCTTGGAGACTTATGGAGAAGCCCAGGCTGCTGAGCAGGTCAGTGTTTTAAACAGAAATTCCTGAAGGAAAAAGAGGGGTGAGTGCAGAGATAACTTAAGTCTCATAATCATACGTGGGAAAAGATACTTTAGTAAGACTTCCGTTACTTGAGTGGTCCTACACCTGTTCAGTAAAGAGTTTGCAAACGTGTTTCAGTTGTCCATTTGTGGCTTCGGGAATGTAAGACCAGTGCGTGCAGCTTGTATAAAAAGCCTTACTGCATAAAACTGCATAAGGAATAGTTACTCTCTGAGTTTATGTACGCTGATTAATACAGGAAAGAGGACTAAGTAGTTTTCTGAACCTGTTAAGAAACATTTCAGTAACTGTCAATTGTTATGAACTTAGCAAACCAGAAAAAAAAAATTTGTTAGAAATAATCATACTCAGAAGGGAACTATATATGTTTTAAACAAGTATTATACACAATTAGTGGATGTTTTCTCTTGTTTTATAAGGAAAGTAGGGAAGCAGAATTTTGCCTTTAAATGCTTTTAACCTGAAGCAGGAATTTACCCTGTAATCAAATGATGCAGAAAAACTTAACATTCCTCTTGGTTGTGAGGTTTTTCCTTTTCTGTCTTCCAGACTATTAAGAATATGATGGACATTGAAAAGGTGAAAGGATTTTGTCAAGTAGTTGTAGCCAATAAAGTTCGAGAAGGAATTGCCCACTTGATTCAGTCCTGTGGACTAGGTGGCATGAAACACAATACCGTGGTTTTGGGATGGCCGTATGGCTGGAGGCAAAGTGAAGATCCAAGGTCATGGAAAACATTTATAGGTTAGTTTTGAAGGTTCTGTGTGATCAGACGTTCTGCACCAAGGTGTTTATTACCTACGCAGTACCTACTGTGGGTTTTTAACAGAATCTTTGTGAAATCAGTTTTGTTTTCTACTCTTTGTGGTTTCTTCTGTTGATCGTGAACTTATTTGCTAGTTAACAAAGCTAAGCCTTAGAAGATAAATGCAATCTGATAAACTTGCATGCCATTGCTAGCGTTTTTAAATAAACGTAGTAATCTAGAGCCCTTACACTTGTGTTACAAAAGCAGGAAATACAGCAGTTGAGGCAAGTTTCATGGGGGAAAGAAAATCTCTCTTATTATACCAGCTGATGTGGTTGAGGACAGAGGGGAGAAATACAGCTCTGCTTTCAGGCAAAGCAGCCAGCAAATCCTATTACCAGTAGATGATTTCTCACACAACTTTTCTGTTTGAAATACCACTTCTCCTAGATAGAGACCTATGAAAGATTTTCAAAGATTAATCTAGCAGCTAAAGCTCACCTCTCTGTAATGAATACTTAAAAATGATGGACTTGAGACATACTGTTTTTATGGCAAGCACTAATTTCTTTTGAAGGTAACCTCTGTCTTTTCACAGGTGCTAAATTATCCACCTCTCTTTCCTGTTGGACCTAATGCTCTGCTTGCATTTCCCTCCTTCTTCTGAGGTCTCAGATGGTCCAACTATGTAATGCAGTCAGATTAGAACTGCACAGATGCTTTCTCCTTGTACATGGTTTTGAAGATCACTGCTTTTATTTCAGACTTGAAGTAGGGCTTGTATTTCTGAAAGTCTCTTTTATCCTATGTCATTTGGTCTGACCTGTCTGTACAAGCCTTGCTATACTCACTTTTGTTTATGTAAGTAATGATTTTTATGGTTTGTTGGCATTTGGTCAGTGAGTAACTTTTCTACCGTAGATCACCATTGCAGTATTGGAGGTAACTATTTGTTCTTCTTTTTGGCAGGTACTGTTCGTTGCACAACGGCAGCTCATTTGGCCCTACTGGTTCCAAAAAACGTATCTTTCTACCCTAGCAACCATGAGCGTTACAACGAGGGCAACATTGATGTGTGGTGGATTGTGCATGATGGAGGCATGTTGATGTTGCTTCCTTTTCTACTCAAACAGCACAAAGTAAGGAGCTAGAAAAAGAATTTTTTTTTTTTTTTAAACCTACTTCTGTGTGCATCAGTGTGAAGGAACGTGGCGTGGAAGCAGAGCCTATGTTGATAAACAAGAGTCATTGCAGTGGTAAGATTTTGTTTTATAGAGCAAAACGTTATTGGCTCAAGGGTACAAAGAGCTTATGTTTCCGCACCAGGTTTGGAGAAAATGCAAAATGAGAATTTTTACTGTAGCCCAGATGGATGACAACAGCATACAGATGAAAAAGGACTTGGCTACTTTCCTCTATCAACTCCGAATAGAGGCAGAGGTAGAAGTGGTAGAAATGGTAAGGCATTGATTCAGTTTTTCACTGTATGATGCAAATGGTGGTGTTGGCTTATGACTTGATTATGAGAGCAATATTTTTCTTATTTCTGCAGCATAATAGTGATATCTCAGCATATACTTATGAGCGAACTCTTATGATGGAGCAGAGATCTCAGATGCTGAGGCAAATGAGGCTGACAAAAACAGAGAGGGAAAGGGAGGTATGTCATTTGTGGTTGATTACTGTGGACTGCTGAGGTGGATGAATCAAAATGCCTTCCTGGTAGTGTTTTATATAGCTGCTCCTTGAATTCAACTCCTGTGTTCTAAAACAGTAAGGAAATAACTTTTAGTGTAGCTTTTAGGTTTTTTTTCCAGTTGCTGTGTCCAAAAATTGCATGTAGTCACTGAAAAGCCTGGCTGTACTTGCAAAGCCATACTAGAAATGTTTTGGAGAAAATGTATGTAAGCTGCAGAAATGATCTTTGTGTTCCCCTTTGCAGTGTAAACGATACTCGGGGACCTGAGGATGAAAGTATCAACCTTTTTTTGACCTTGTTTTTGGTTTATAGGGCATATCCGGTGTTTGTCTCAATTATAGTATATCCTGTTTTCCTACTGCAAATTTCATTCCAGTTTAGGACAGTGTTAGGACACTTAGCTATGAAAGGTGCAGGCTATATCTTATTTTTGTGCATAGGTCTATCAGATTTTTTTTCTTGTTGATTTTGGGTTAGACTTGCCTCTTGTTTCAGACTATCTCCCGATGAGAGATGGACTGTCTCTTTCTCCTAGTATAGATACGGCCTCTGTTAGTCCAAATGCTGCATGGCTCACACCCATCTGAACTCAGTTTGGTATGTAAGACTGTTGTCTAGGCCAGATGTTTGGTATCTGGGCTGCCCTAGATGCTATGTTGACTGTTTTTTTTTTTTTTTTTAAAAAAAAAAAAAGGGGGGGTACAATAGAACAAAAAGCCTTCCATTGCTTAAAAGGAATCAGAGAAGGTCAAATAAAGTCTCTGAGTTCGCCTTGTCATTCATGTGCTCTTCAGGCTCAGCTGGTGAAGGACAGACACTCAATAGCACGTTTAGAGAGCTTGTACTCGGATGAAGAAGATGAGGCGGACCCAGTTCCTGAGAACATTCAGATGACCTGGACAAAGGAAAAATGTGACTCTGAGAAGCGGAACCGAAGCAGTGCTGTGGGAAGCTTTAGAGATCTGATCAGCATTAAGCCGTGAGTCTTGTCAGAGTCAACAGCTTGCGCCTCCTAAAAGTCTGGTTGCGTTGTGCTTTTATTATCTTTTTTCCACCCCCAGTCCTTGGTCTAGGATTGCATAGCATGCCTGAGACCTGACTACTAAAAGGACAGCAGTTAGCCTCCTGAGAAACTGCTAACCAATTAAATGTAGCACACATGTCTCAGTATTTATACCCAGTATAGTCAAATTCTAAACTGGAGCTGTTAAACCATACTATAACCCTCCTCCTGACTCCCCAAAAGCTCAACAAAAATAAAATTTCACTATCTAATGTGGAGTGCGGATGTCTAACGCAGGAAGGAAGAACTGGTGACATCTGTTAGAAGTGGAGATGGTGGTGAATGACTGGGAATGGAATATGTGTGTGAGAAAATCATCTAAGACAGATTGACTGTTGTAGGAGCACTGATATGTAACAGCAGCCTTAGTATTACCACGTGTGTGCCCCTCAGATAGCCGGAAGTGAAGCTCTATATGTGGCTTTGCATTAAAAGGTACAAATTTCCTGTAACCTCTTTTGATGTGTTACATCTTGTATCGAGAGCCCACTCAGTCAGCTTTGCGTACTTGGCAAAGTTCCAAATTGCTTATTACTAATAAATCGGTGAGAATTCCAGGCTTTTTTTGGATGAATCATGCATAGTTTATATACTGTAGAAATTCTGCTGAATTTGGTGTTAACTACCTGTACTTTTTCCTCTTCCATGCTTTCAGAGAGTGGGAAAACTTGTAAGTTTGTTATTTAACTTAGAAATACATTAAGATGGTTGAGAGGGAAGATTTCATTTCCTCAACTAAAAGCTGGAAAACTGTATGTAACTATGGAAGAAAAGAAAAGGAGTCAGAGTTGAACAGAATCTTAGCAATGTTTTTGAAGGGAGCAGGATTAGCCACTTAAGCTAAGTATCATTTTAAATAACATGCAAAAAAAACCCAGGAGTTGTCCTGACAAGAACTAAATCAGGAAGAAAAATTACAGGTTTGCGCCTATTTTCTCAAGCAGAATATGGCCAAGATTTGGAAACCTTACTCGTTTAGAGAAGCTCTGATTCTACAACACTGCTATGATGTTGTTTCTGGACACCAAGCAAACTCTTTCTTATAGCCTACATCTTCAGATCACTAGGGAGATGCCAATTTTAAAGGTCACTTTGGAGAATGCCAAAGCTTTAGTTTTCAATTACTTTTCCAAAACCATACATAGTTTATAACAGTATATTGTTTCTGGTGCTGTTTTCTTCCTTACTTCTGTAAACATCATCTGGCCTCTAACTTGTCCCTGGCTTTCTGATGCTGGCGTGGTAAAGACAGGAGGTGTCCTTGCTCTAAATAAAATAATATAAAATAACAGGTAATTTAGAAGTGGATAAACTGTGTTGTTAGTATAACAAATATTAATCTTACTATTGCATCTTCTGTCTTCTGTATATATAGACTATTTATTGGCAAACCTAAAATCAGAAACCGAAGTTCAGAAAAGAAGCAAAGTTATTAAAGACTCTAACTCATAACATGTAAAGCTAAATCAACAAAACTACAGATTCATATTCAGCTGAGTTCTCCTAATACCTATTTTTAGTATATTAAAGAAATGGAAAAAACCTCAAAGCTGCAAAGGGAGAATATATTCTCCCTTTGGATCTATTTCTGTTTTGCTTTTCCTTTTAAGCTACCAAAATAATGATTGATTTCCTTTAGCAAGGAAACATCCTCTGGCTCAAAATCCCCCTAGGATACTTTCCAGTTGTGTTCCTGCATGAATTTATGTTATTTTGTGGTGGTAGCTTCTGAAAAATTAATCCGGTACCTCTTTTAGCCTGGTTTCCTAAGGAACAGAGGCTTCTGAGATCATGCTACATCTATTCCCTTCTCTCCCATAACTTTTGAACCAAGTGGCTACTCAAATTTGAAAGCATGATTGAGATTTCAAAGATATTCAGATCATACATGTTTTCTCTTGCAAACAGTCAGCCAGAGAGAGGGGCTGATTAATGCCTCACTGAAAGAAAGGTTAAAATCCTTACTAAAGACCAGAGAAGACCCATAAGCAGACATGCATCCCACTGTTTGTAGGCTGCGTTCCAGCCTACCCATCCGCAGAAAATCAAGCTTTCTCTGGAGATGTCAGCTGCTGTTCAACACAAAAAGACAAGTGCACTCATGAAAAGTCTGGGCTGAGCGCAATGCTACCAGTTTGCTGCTCTGTTCTGGTGGGTCTCTGAGAGAGTTTTTTGGTACAGAGTCCTGAGAGATGCATGGTCTGTGCTGCCATGAGAGTGAGGGGATCGAGAGAAGCCTGCTGGGAGCCTGCTGCAACCACCGAGTCACTGGTCAGAGGGCATGCACTCTTGTGCAAATGGGTTTTTTACTTCTTGTGCAAGAATATATGATCTTTATAAAATGCCCTTCTTGAAGGGTATTATAACTTCAAAATCGGAAGACCTGACTCCAGGGATTGTAAAACCTGATGGAATAGCAGTAGCTGAAGAACTATACAAGAAAACTCTTTCTTCTCTTCATTATAAAGTTTGGAACCCCCCGGCCCCCCCCCAAAAAAAAAAAAAAAAAAACCCAGTATGTTAAATAGAGTTGACATTTAATAGAGTATTTAGCAGATTTAAGGTTTGCTTTTAAGGACTTTTTAATCATTCAGTTTTCAGAGGCCGGAGGCTTATTTTTTCTGAACAGTAAATCTGAATGTGATTCTTCAACAGGAACCAATCTAACGTCCGAAGGATGCACACAGCAGTAAAGCTAAATGAAGTTATTGTAAATAAGTCCCATGATGCCAGACTTGTTCTCCTCAACATGCCTGGTCCTCCAAAGAATACTGATGGTGATGAAAACTGTATCCTTTCAGGGAAGGCCTGGTCCATATACAGAATCTTTCTTTAACTTATGCACTTGAATTTATTTTACTAGATATGCTGTCAAGCTGTAATATGTGACAAACTGTGGTACTGGCTTGTGGCTCATGTACTGGTTGCTCTGGAAGCCATGGAGGTATGAAATCAGTCTTGCCTGAATTCTTACTGAATTCGGTTTGATTTATCCATGACCTTGGTAAGTCTCAGGCTTTGGCAACAACGTCACAATTCATTTGTGAGTATGTTGCTATTACAGAAAAGGCTAAACAATTTGACAACCTTTAATATCTTCCAGGGCAGGAGTGAAGGCTGGTTCTGAAAGGAATATAGACCTTGCCATACTAAATACAGAATCATTTAAAGGTTGGGCACCTGCTTCCGGGAATGAAGTTCACAATGCTGATGTTGGTAACTAATTCTCAACAATGGATGTAGGAGACAAGTAAGAAAGCATTCACAGCAGCCAGCAAGCTGGGCAGGGCAATGTCTGAACTCGAGCGAGCAGGGAGTCCCTGAAGGAGAAAGCATTTCTCATACACGTGCTCACACATCAGAATTTTAGAGCTTTGCTCCAACTGTGATGCTCCAGTAAGACTAAAAGTCCAACCTACAGTATTTAGGCACTTAGAGGTATACTTGCACCATGTGTCTAAGTAAGGCTAGAGCTGAGGGTTGTGATCTGGTGAGCTGGCTGGCATGGCAGTTCTCTGTCCACAGCTGCTTTTCAGCCTCAGTTTGTACTGTTAAACTAGGAAGCCTTGCATTAACCTGTGCCAAAAAACATTATGCAACTCCTAGGCCTTAAATCACAGACCAAACGATTGCTGTTTCCCCCTAAATCTGGGAGGAGGTGGTAGTGGTAACAGCTGTTAGACAACAGCTGACTGGCCAAAGAAGGGACTAGAACGCTCCTCTTCAGCACAGCGGGGTTTCAGCCACAGCTACTATAGCCCAAGGGAGCTTTTCATGCTACAGGCTGGGGTGACTTTGGAGGGGGATACTTGCTTCTCGCCCTCCCTGAAGAGGGTGGGCCGCTGTGACTGAAAAGCACGCAAAATTCATGAAGAGCACCTGGGATGGAGTTTACTGTGTAACCTGGTGTTCAGATCGCTCCTTTGGAAGAGTGAAAGAGCACTTGCACGGTTTACTTTTAGCCATTAGATTTCTTCCCTGCCTCTCCCTCCCAAAACCTGAGAATTTGTTCAGAGGTGTCGGGCGCATTTGGGGTGATATGTTCCTATTCTTCTCTCTTGCTCATGCCTTTGTGGTGAAGCTAGCTCATATTGAATAGGAGCAACAAGTGAAAGTAAGTTAGGCTGGTGCTCATATATGGCGAAGACTGAATCATGTACCAATGCATTTTGTTAAGCTGCTGGCAAGTAGCTTTTGTAACTGCATCTGAGCCTACATACAAGCACTAATTCCTCTTTTAAATAGTCAATCAGAGGCGTACTATTTCATATAAAATGGGAAACAGTTTGAGTCACATAGGGATTTTCTTAAGTGTATTGAAATGAATTTAGTAATATTACCTTTTGTAAATAAAATGAGAAGTTTGATGTACCTACAGGCAACTCTCATTAGTCCTGTACCACTGCTATCTATCAGATTTGTATTTATATCTATTTACGAAGATGAATATAGATGTTTCACACTTAGGCAGGCAGTACATTTTAAACTCATCTCCCATTCAGCCTCTTCCAGTGAGATATTTCACGACATAAAACATTTAAAAATGTGCTCAACCACAAATAGTGTTTCTTAGCAGCTGGAAAAAATCCATTTAACTAGGTTTTTCAAAATTTGCCTATAGAAAAATTGCTCTTCTCCTGAGTTGCAGTAAGTACAAACTCTGGGAAACGTTCTGAGGTTTTTGGCAGGGGCGGGTTAGTTGCCTACAGCATTCTGAATGTACTGTTTCATTATGGTTCTGTAAGGCAGGCTAATCGGTGTGTATTTTGGTTTTAACATCTCTTGTCCTTGACTTTACTGAAACAGACATGGAGTTTCTTGAAGTCTTGACTGAGGGTTTGGAGAGAGTATTACTTGTTAGAGGAGGTGGCCGAGAAGTCATCACCATTTACTCCTGATTTAGTACGAGCTTCTAACACTTCTTCTTGGTGATAAAGAACATTCCAGTTTTAAATGGAGAAGAAAAAAAGGTTTTTTGCCTAACTTTCTCCTCATCTAGTCCTACTCATTGTGTTTCCATCTGCAACATACATATCTTTGGGACTGCAGTATTGTTAGACCATCCAATTAGCAACACAAGTTAATTGTGAATCTGCCACGTTATTCAGTTTCTGCTTTGGTACGCTGGCATTCGTGCATGTAGTTTTAACACTAAACCTATTTTTAGACAACACTGCGATGTGCAGTATTTCTAGTAACTGTATGTAAAGTTAGGACATGAAAGTCAGTTACTGTAAAAAGATTTTAAAAGCTTTTTATATTAGGTTTGGGGGATAGAATTACATTATATAGCAGCTAGTTTCTGCTGAACTTCAGCTATAAAGCATTTTCTAAAAAAGCACACTAAATTGTGAGAGAGGACTGAAAAAAGCTTTGTTTTTTCTGGGTTTATTTCCAGAACTAAACTCTCAGTATTGGATTAAGAATTTATACTTTTAATACATTTATTGATAGAGTTTTAAATAAATTATGTTGATAGAGTTGAAATTACGTATGTAGCTTGCTACAGACTGTTGCTTCTGAGACTTGAGGTTCTGTGAGGCCAGATCCCTATTTATTTTTGTATTTATTTGTCAGAAATATTGGATACGCAGATGCAGGAGTACAGAGATTTCGTAATAATTTTTGAATCATCAGCGGATTGAAGGACCAGTCCTGTGCAGTTCTTCCATGCTTTAAATTTCTTGCAGACCATCTATCAAAGTACATTGAGCATGTTGGAGTCCAAGTGTGTAGAGCCAGGCACTATGCTGCGCGCACAGCGATGGGATTGCACTTGCACAAGTACAGGGGACCTGCTGCTTCATTGTATGTGTTATGTCCGTAGAGGAAAAAGAAGAAAAGAAGACCTTTTCTTAACCAATACGTCTCTGGAGATTTTATCAAGCCCATTGAGTTGTACTTTATGTACAGAACATTCGTATTTTTTCAATAAAATGTTGCATACATTTGGAACCTATTCTCTGCTCTGTGTGCTATAGTGAATTACCCAGGAATACAGTATCTGCCCATTGCTGTGCAGAATTATTGTGATCTGACTGCAGTGTGGTGGCGTGGGCAGATCCACCCTGTGCAGGGGAGCGTGCTCTAGGGGTGTCAGCGCTTGCCCAGGTGGCAGAAGTGCTGCACTGTGGAGGAGCCAGCTCATGCCTGAAGGCAGCCCGGTGTCGTGCCTAAGCGAGCAGAAGTTCCTGGGTCTGGAGCTACTACCGTTGCTCCATCTGCGCATACCTGTAGACTATGATACTGAACAAACTGAAATGCCCTCCAGATTTCGGGCTCTGTCTGGGAAAGCAGTAGTCCCCCATAGAGGTTAGCTCAGAAATACCCATTATGGGAAGGGTCAGAAGTATGGGAAGAAGGGTGGAGAGTGACACACATTCTTTGGCCCGCATGTTCTTACTAGTTGGTATATGTGAAACGCGGAGGCTGACACTGCAGGTTTTTGTTCATGAGGTAACCTAACACAAAACTTGATATCAAGCAGTTGGGCTTCACGGTTACTGCACCTGGCTTCAAATATTCTGTCTCCCCTGTTGTGATAATGTTCCTTCTTATTTCAATGATAACAGCATGATCAGCTGGCTGTAAGGCAGGAATCTGAAGAACTATCCAGATCCTTTACCTTGAGTAAGAACAATGTAATTAGAGGAAAAAAAAAAGCTTTTTATAACGCCACCTTTTTTCCCCCCTTCCTCATCTCACCTGCAAAAGACCATGCTGAAAGGCATTTTTCTTCAGGTTTAGAATTTTATAGTTAAAGCAGGAGTTTGTCTTCTCTGTGAAATAGGACATACTTGGGAGTAGGATGGCATTAGTACATTTAAGATACCTGCAAGAAAACAGTCAGGAAACAAATCGTCTTTATTGGATAAATGTTTTTCTTAAGGACAGTCTTTCCTTAGACCAAGCTTTGAAAACCAGACTTTGTTTCACTTACGTTTTAAAACAAAGGGAAATAATAAAACTTTCTTATTTGTAAATAGTACACTATTTGCAAAGAGTTTTTTTTTTTTCTTCTTAAAACATCTTCAGAGGACTGAGTAGTAGTGTGTAAGTGTACAGCAATCATGATAGTTAATGCTTACTCGCAAGCATTCTTTTATAGGAATAGTATTGTTTATGAAATCTTTTTATTTCTCAGTCTTCTGGAGGTCCAACTATAAGAAATTATTTCCTTTACCAAATGTAAAATTCCTTATGACATGACATACGTTTGCAGGGCACAACTTCACCTCATAGAAGGATTTCCAGTGTCAACTAGTGCCTGACCCAGTAACCTGTTGAGGGCTCTATTATGTTTTTAACATTAGCAATAGTGAATGTCCTTACAGATACATTAGGCTGAGTTTTCAGAGCTTATTCTGTGCAATGTATATAAAAAAGTAGTAAGTCAGCAACACTGTGTGGCAATTTCGGATTTAGTAGGCTCCAATTATGTAAGACATCTCTCTATATAGTGGGTTCAAAATAAGTTCCCCTAAGACTTACGTCGAAGTGCAGAGTCTGAGGATGCATGCCAACGAAAACTGGAACTAGCACAGAACAGGTGGGATAAGAAAAATACTGAAGGTAATTTCGAGTTGAATTATCCTCTGAAAAGGCAACAACAGAAATTGGAACGTTGCGATTAAAGTACATCAAGGCTAAGTTGATACCATCTGCATATAGGTGAACATAAATGTATATAGAATTATACCAAAAACTATATAGTTTTTAATAACCAGTGAGTTATTAAAAAAAAATTCTCCTGTAGAAGATAGAAGTCACTTTTTGTTTGCTTTAATCCTCACCTCCAAAAAACTCACAACCAAAAAAAAAACCCTGCATTTTACTTTCTACACGGAGCAGAATGTTGCTCTCCTCTTGTAGCTTAGCCTTCGCAGCGTTAAAAAGGTTCCACAAAACATATTTTGCTTTGGACACTAAAATCCACAAGAGGGCACTAGGGTGCCTCATTTGGTGGTTCCCTAGGCTTGAAGAAATACCACAGCCGTTTTCCAGATTATTTGTAAATTATTGTTGAGTGGTAATTTTTCATGTTACTCATCTAAACGGTACTTCTTTGAATTCTAGATGCACTGATAGGAAATGAAATGTGATAAATTAAAAAATTTCCATTTAAACAATGCATCCTCCTCCTTGTCCCCGTTTCTCATTTTCTCCCCTGCGTCATCCATAATAATGTTTGCTTCTTCAGTAGTTCCCTTGGGAAAGAAAAAACAGGCCTCGTGCTGTGCTCTAGAGGTCAAAAGTTTTCATTCCAGTCTGGTGTAATTATCCCCCTGCACAGTCACTGGCCCAGGTCTGTAGGCAGAGCCTGCCAATACAAAGTGCTGTTTTTCCCTGGTGAGAGGTACCACATCGTTCTGGATTTGTCACATCAGACAGCAGCAGTCAGAACTACAGTGCAGTCTAGCAGGTGATGCATTTTTTGAAGAAAATTCCCAACAACAGTCACATTCCCTATTGCAGGTGCAGCCAGCTTTTTTGGACAGAATGCCCCCTGCCACTGGGCAACAGACTAGAATGGAGCCTGCGGCTGGCAATGTCCGTCCAAAATAATTGTCTCTCCATCCAGAAAACAATGCAAAAGGCAGGCCTCTCACTGTTGTGCCCAGGGCATGCCTCTTGCTCTAGCCAGAAAGGGATCCTGCCACCCAGGCAGAGCCTCTTAGTCCTGGCAGGCCTGCTGCTTTGCATGGTTTTTCTCAGTTCCTGAAGCAAGCCTGTCCAGTGCTTCAAGGAGTGCTGGAGAGCCAGAGCACTTAGTGTGTGGATAGGCTGATCTGAGCTGAGAGATGGGTGAAAAAGTGAGCAAATGTTGGGACATTTTCCAAAGTAAGAGGATACCTGGCTACTGCTGAGTGGCAATAGCAGATGCCCCTAACTCAGCTGCTGCACAGCGCTTCGGCTGAGGGTGTCCCTTCAGTTCTCTGTGCTGTCTTGTGCAACGCCTAAGATAGCGGTCAGTACTTGACGCCACGTAAGGAAAAGGTTTGAGGCGATCCAGCTAGCAATGGTCTACTGTTCACTGGCAGCATCAGTAATACACAGATGTCACTACCGAACTAGAACTGTGGCAAGATGTGTCCATCGCCTGTAGAGATGGCATTGCTAATGGGTTAACAACAAAGTCAGGTAGAGGTCTGAACCTTGTAGCAGTCTGTGTCATGCAGTATGCCAGGGAGTCTATGATGTTAAAAGCCATGTACTAGGGAGGGGATGGGACTGTATGCTGCATAAATCTCATGGCTACACAGGATCCATTATTAAAGTAAAGCAAAAATTGATCCATCTTACCAAATGAAGCTTTTTTTTTTTTTTTTTCAAACAGAAATGCTGGCAGAAGAAAATACAATATGGGCCACATCAGCCCATCAAGAGCATTTTAATGGATAACTATCCAACGCTTGGATACTTTTCACCCATTTCCTTTCACCTAACCCAGGAGCTGTCTGTGTTTCTACTGCCAGATATGCATATAACCATTTGTCTTGCCCAAGGTTCTTCTCACAGATCCAGGGAATTTCAGGAACAGTTTTGAACTGGCATAACTTGTCCCTGCTACTGAAAGGCAATCCTGCCTGCTCTCGCCTGCTTGTTCTTGTCTCAGGTGTTCTACCTCTGCCCACTCTGTGCCGGCACAAGCATTCATGCGGCCATGCAGTGATCTAGAGCAGATGACTGGGCATTTTCAGAAGCCGAGTTAGTTCTAGCTAGATTAGATTAATGACTGGGCTCACTCTGCAGCCACCCAATGGTGGCAGCAATACAAAGGACTGGGGAGGACTATGGGTCCATGCCTTTTGGCAGCAGTGTCGTGCTGGTTTAAACTCCTGATTAAACTGCAGTGTTGGATGCGGGATAAAAGTTAAATGTTAAATGTCTGGCAAAGCCAGTCCTCATAAAAATGATGCTTTTAAGCGTCTTTATGTAGGCCTAAAGTAGGCAATTTACCACATATTTTGCCTGTCAGCTCCAAGCTAAGAGGTGTTCTCTTTCCATACGTTCTTCCCTCACCAAAAAAACCACCACTGCCAGGAAGACACAAAACTGTCCATGCCTCCAGACATAAGGCAATCTCCAAGATTCAAATACAATAAGTTTGGAGCAATCTGAACCATAGCTTTCACAGTGCAGGGAATGTACTGCACACTCAGCTGGAGTGTTTAAGAGGAGCACCTTCTTCACACTTTTGCAAGCTGTGGTTGGCCTGTCCTTGGCCCTTCTGCAGGAGGTCCAGGATAGTGAACCTGAATGGAGATAAGTCCATCTTCCAACCTGACTCAAGTGCTTACATTTCAGAAAGTGATGCTTTAGAAAAGCTCTTTCTCTTTAGCAAACTGAAACATGAAAACTAAGGTGAATCCCTTTCACCAAATGCTGTTTTTCATACTTGGTGCAAGAACATCCCTGTCTGTTGTGCAGACTGGCTTACACTGCACAACAGGCTGCCTGTAGTGTATGATGTTGTCAATGCTAAGACGTGTGTTTCCTCACTGACAACCTAGCCCATTCCTTGGTGTGTTAAAAACAGGCAGAAACAGCAGCCAGTAGAGCATGGGATGAAAAATAATGACAAGAAAGTATAGAAACCAAAGTCAAGAACTTTCTGAACAGATCTTGATTATTTGCGCCTCAGTTTCTCACGATCTGTTTGAAGGAGTTCATTTTTGGCTGTATCTTTCAATTATCAGCTAGTAATGCTTCTAAAAGTGACCCACTCTCAATCTCTAAGCAATAGTAAGGATTATAAGAATTACAGTTTAATATTGAGAAGCATAAATCCTAAATTCAAGACTTAATACACCTACGAAGTTGCATGAATTTAGTACTTTGCAAAAGCTGTCATTCTCTTTAGGTAGCTGAATACACAGGATTTTGTTGTTACACATTTCATCTGAAGTAATTTCCTAAGTGTAACAATGAGTCTAGATTCTGCTTTTAAATTTAAAG